GCAGATGGAAAGAGAGAGGATAGCTCCCTGCTGAGCAAGGATTCCCAACGTGGGGCTTCATCCCAGAACCCTGGGATCATGACCCCAGCTGGAGGCAGGTGCCTAACCGACTGAGCCCCCCAGGGGTCCCAACCTCCTGCTTTCTGTAATAATTCTTCTTAATTGGCTCTGATTGGTCTCTTGGTTCCATTTTGAGGCCACTTAATCTCCTTGGATGACTAACAGATGCTTGTTATTTGTCAGTATTTATAAATATGAAAGCTTATATTGAAAGGGCTGGATGGGCCTTCGGAGCGCTGCGAGCAGTTGTGCGGGTCACCGTGCGTTTTCTCACCACTCCCGGGACTCGGGGCACATTTGCCTCCAGCCCCTGGCGGCACAGTCCTGTGGAAATGAGCCTCCGGACAGATTCGCAGGCAGACACTGCCTTTGCCGTGTTTGTCAGACACCCACTCATACCAGGTTTATATCTCCCAAAAAGTCCTCGAAGTTTCTGCCTGTGGGCATGGTTCTTGAAACAAGCCCTGTGTGGTTTCCCATGAGACGGGGCCTGATTTCACAGGTTTGGGGCTCCCCGGCCACTACTGGCCCAGCTGGTGACCCTGAGAGTCTCCATCAGCACTTTCTCTGGCAGCCTGAGCCCTCTGGGCCCCGGCCTGGCCAGTCACAAGTCCTGGCCTCCAACGCACCCCTGCCTTTCAGTGACTGCTGGTGTGTAACTACCACAGCTCCCTTGTCCCTTCGGTGGGATATTCTGGGGTGCCTATTCATTCCACACTGGCTCCCAGAGTTCCAAAGAGGAGAGCATGATCTGGTCATCTGCAGGGGTGACTGGATGCCCCTGTATAGCCTGCCTTCCCTTCTCTTTCTCATTTCCCCACTTCCCTGTCGGGTATGTCCTGGGATCACCTTCCACAGAAACTACTTGCAAATGAATGCTTGATCTGAGGCGGGATCCCAATCAAAATACTGACAGAGTGTGACAGACTCTTTAGAAAGTTCTCCTTCCTGGTGTGGAGAAAGACCTGGAGGGGGAAGATGGAGGCCAGGAGGTCAGCCGGGAGGTGTGAGCAGCAGTCTCACAGAAGGTAAGAGAGGAGTCAGTGCCTTGCTGTGTCTCAAACACCAACACATGCAGCAGAGCGGAATGCCCCAAGATAGTGGTTAAATATGGTGACATTTAGAAGAATAGAAATAACCATCATGGAAATATCTAGACTTTGCTGAACTTCCTCACACTTACTTTTATCTTTTCAAAATTGTTGTTGTTGTTGTTACTTCTAAGGAGGCATTCAGTCAATATTTATTGAATGAACGAGTGAAAGAAGAGATAAATGACCCCTTGGCTGCTGGCTGGGTGGCAGGGCCATTCACGGAGAGAAGGTCCAGGGGAAAAAAAAGGAGCAAGTCTGGTAGGAAGGGTGGGGCAGGCAATCTCCTCTACAAACAGATCAGATAACAGGGTACTCTGGGTACTTTTTGGAACTCAGGGTGCTGGGCAGGCGTAGGCAGGGGAATAATCAGACTATTTCATAGTCGTGAAATAGCACGTGCTCCTGTCAATCAGGAGGAAGCCAGCCCCAGTGCCAGAGCTGAATCCTGGAGCCCCTACAGAGCCAGATGATAACACTTTAGTTGTTGGATTATGGGGAGGAGTGGAGGGCGAGGGTAGCCAGACTACGTAAGGAACTCTTACCCACTTCCAGTAGGTATATTTGTACCAGGTGTGTACAGGGTGAGCCCGGGCCGTGGGTTTGAGGTCAGGCAGAGAAACCAGGCAGATTAGAAGACATCACCCAGCAAAGTGAGGCCCCCAGCTCCTTCTGAGAAACATCAGGGCAGGCTGAAGATAGTGAGCACTTATGGGTGCTTACTCAGTATGAGAATACCTTTTCTAGAGCTTCCAACAACTCAAGAGAGTAATTCCCATTACTATCTCTATTTTCTAGATGAAGGAACTGAGCTGAAGGGAAAGGTTGAGTGTAGGGGACTGTAACTTGCCTATGACTACAAGGCTCTTAGGGGCCAGAGCCCAAATTCAAACACTAACCAAGGCCTGCCTATACTTGACTGCCCTGTAAGTTGGAGTATATGGTGGAAAGCAAAGGGGTAAGTCAGCCAGTGGGGATCAAAGAGCTGTGAGGGGTTCAGTGATGTCTCGGTGACCCAGGAGCTCAAGGAGTAAGCAGAGAAGTGCTTCTCCAGCTGCTAGGTTAGGCAGAGATTGCACACATGTACTTGCCTCAATGGGTGAGTTCCCCGCGGGATTGGGAGAGAAGGGGATATACATGAGGTTTGAAATAGTCTGTGCATTCAGTGGATTTAAAAAGTGGGGTGCATCGTCTGTCTTTATACTTCCAAATCCAAACATAGTCCTGGATACAAAATCATCATTCAAAAAGTATTTCTGAATGGATGAAACAAAAGACCTACTTGATTTTTCTCGAACAAAGACCTGATCCCATATCTCGTCTTCTTAAAATCTTCCCAGCGTGTGCCACCAATTGCAGGAGCAAATTCAAATGTCTTATCCTAGAATTCAAGGCTAGTGTGATCTTTACAGGCACACAATGCAGGTGGGAATCATCAAGTCCTTTCCAGGGATTAGTATAACCCCAGAAGGGAGACGAAGTCTCTTTTTTCTGAGGCCAGTCTCTGGGGTGGTGGAGTAATGTGAGCCTGGAGCTGTCTGTGAGCAACCCCTGCCACACTGCCACATGAAGAACTCTTGTTCCTCCCCGCAGCAAAGGAAGGAAGCCAAATACAGAGGAAAGCAGAAGCAAGACAGCAGCCAGACAGTCACACACACACACACACACACACACACACACACACACACACACAGAAAACAGGCTAAGTGTCCTTCTTTCTGGTTTCCAGAGCTAATAAATTCCTTTTTGTGTGCTTGTTGTGGTTTTGGCTTATGAATTCGGCTTGTGTCTCCCTTACTGCCTAGTATTCGGCTGTACTGGATTGCTGACAGTTCCCTGAAGTCCATGCTGTCCCCTTCTTGCACTCTCTCTGAGATCAGACAATGCAGTGCCAGCCATACAAAGTCCAGGGGTGCAGGATGTTTGAGAATGGCTCTTGTGATCCATCCTCCTTGTTTCCTTGGTCCCCCTTTGGGCACCACCGTGTGCCACACTCAGGTTGGCAGAGAGCTATCACCCTGCCACCCCAGAAACTCTACTTCATACTTCGTCTCCACCACCTCCCATACCTTCTCAAGTCTCCTGGCTCCTCTGTGCCCTCCAAAGTTTGCCTCTGCACGGGGCCCGGCCCCTCATATATGTTGACAGCTGCCTCTGTCATTCTGGTTCTGCTTCTAGATGGGGGACCTTAGATGCTGTGGGCTTTAGACCTTGAGAGTCTACAACATAGACTCAGATCAAGTACCCAAAGACCTCCAGCAATGTAAAGATGAACTACTTGTGGCACACCTCCTTCCCTTAGCAGGCCTGAGAGCATCATAGTCTGTTTCTTGGCCCTTGAGGTACATTCAGAAGTAGAGCGAAGGCCTACAGACCTTTCAGCCTCTGTGTTTCAATTATGTGATAAGAACACCAGCTGTTTAGAGGAGGAAGAATGACAAAGGTAGACAGGTTCGGGGGACTGGGATGAAGTAAATGAGGCAGAGTCTGTACTGGCCACCAGCAAGGAGGCCAGGCAGGTGTAGAGTGGTGACAGCTATCCCAACAGGGGGTGGGACACGAGCGACAGCCAGGTGGAGGAGTGGCCTATGTGACTCACTTAAGTAACCATAAGGACACTGGACTGGTCACCTTTGGCAAGTGATAAGAAAGCTGATGTTCTGGGAAGGATCTTGAATGCCCAAGATTTTGACCTTCATTCTCAGCGATTGAAAGGGCTCAGGTTGATTCAGGGCCTCTTCTGAGAGGGCCAGTTGGTTTTACCCACTCCAGTGCACAGAGGACTGAGATGCCAGGTCATGAACCTCAACTTCTCTTCCCGGGGTTAGCAGGAGTCTCTCCTCCTTTTGGCTTTCCCTGAATTCCCATCTTGCCCAGCTCACTCTGTGACCCAGGGCCATGGTGGGCTCTGACTAAAACAGATGGTATCTTCACTTCATGACCTCAGGAACCTCCTGCCCTCCTCCTCTCAGTTCCTGTCCGTGTCAGGCAGTCCTCTGTCACTCGGTAGGTGGGCCAGTCCTCAATCCACTTCTGGGGTTTTCCAACCTACAACTGCCTTTTATCCTATGACTCATAAGAGATTCTCATCACTCTTCCATTTAGGAAGCCCCTAAGTGGAGGTTCTGGGCTGTGTGGCTTTTTTTTTTTTTTTGTCCTCAATTTCCTTCCTACCTCAAGGACTATTTGGGTGGATTCACTTTGCTGAGTTTCTGGGCCAGCCCAGCTGAATAGGAGGAAGTATCCCGGCATGCCCCTCGCCTGGTGATTCTGTTTCTCCTTCAGGGTCAAGCCAAGAGCCAGAGCATCACAGACTCAAAAGCTGGAGGGAGCAGACAGGTGGCCTCATGCAGTGGTTCCTTGCAAAGATGTGACAGCCCGCATCTGAAAGGAGCCCTACTGCTCACCAGCTAGGTGGCCTGGAACAAGTGACTTCCTGAGCCTTTACTTTTTTTCATCTGTAACATGGAGCTAAAAATACCTACCTTGCAGGGTTATTAAGAAAGGTAAATGGACCTTATAATAAGTCTGATGTTTAATAACTGGGAGCTGATATTATAATTATTTTATCCCAACCTCCTTGAAAGAACAAGGTGGGCTTGCCCAAGGTCATGCATTGCAACAGTCACAGTTCACTGTGTTTCCCCTGCTGGGGTTCTTCTGTCCCCACCAAGTGGGAGACAATGGGCAGGAGCGCAGATAGCATGACGGGAAATCCTCCCGTGTTCTCTGATCATCTCCTGAGGGCTGCGCAGCAGTGGCAGGGTTAGCAAACCCGCCCCAGGGCCACTTCCACAGCAGTGGTGGACAAGAAAGGATCTAGGGGAAAAGAGTCAAACAGAAAGAAAGTGCCTGGAAAAGATGTTTTTATGTTCACTTACATGGAAAAAAAAAATCAAAGTATACAGCATGAAGATATATGTGTCTCAGAAAATTCTTCCTCATGAACCTGGTGGTTCAACAGCAGTTGTAATTCGAGAGCTGTCCCTGGAAGTCATAAAGTCAGGGGGACGGGGTGGGGGTGGGGGCGGGGGTGGGGGGGTGGGCCACCAAGGGAAAGGTAGTCATTATGTGCTATTTCTTTTCTAGTTTCAGATAATTTGGAGTTTAAACTTTTCCAGCAAGTCAGAGTTATATAAACAGATGCCATACTAAAATATGATTGTGTAAAAATATAAAACTCCTAAAGCATGATGGCAATATTTTAGGAAATAAACATTAAAGTCTGGTAATATCAGAAAATACAAATAGGATCATTTGAGCAGTTCGGTCTCTCTGTAGATTATGGATGTATGAAGAATAAAGCATTCGGTCGGCACATAACTTAGGGTAACATGTCTAAACACTGACTTTGTGAGAAAACATGAAGGACATCTTACACTCAACAACAATGGTTAAAGGAGGAAATTACTTTCTGAAGGATGCAGTGGACAGAATGCCAAGGCCTTTGTTTTCAACTCACTCTTAACCGTGTTGGGATGTGTTCACACTGCATGGGGTCTCCTGCAGAATCTAGCACCAATAGATGGATCAGATTTTACTTTTGATCTGAGTCCTTTATGTCTTCAGTTTTTGAGTGTATTGAGGTATGTTTTCTTTGGTTGCTGTCGTGACGAATGTGTAATAAAAAACTAATATTTACAACATTTAAACATTTTAGATTTCAGTGTCAACTCTTCACATAAGAAAAACTGGAAAACTCTTAGGAATCATTGGAAGGTCATTACTTCCTAGCATCTGTCATGAAACTGTTTTCAATACACAGAACAATTAGCCTATTAGCGCAGCTATATGTTTTCTGGTCCAGAATCTTCCCTGTGCTCAGTGGGGAGGCCAGTCCCGTAACTGCCATGTCAGCGGTTCGCCACGCTTCACAGTACTTATCCACAAGACGCACTCCGTGGGTGCTGGAGCCGTGCCAAACGACCTTCTGGGGCCTGCAAAGGAATCGTGTCACGTTACTTTTGAAATGTCTCTTCTTTGTGTCGTACCTCATCGATGAACAAATTGGCGTAAGTAACGAATCAAGTCAAACTCTTGAGCCCTTCATGGTCTGACCCCACAGCACCATCTGACCCCACCACTGGCAATGTTGCTCTTTCCAACTAGCTGAACACCTTGTATTCCAACCCTACCTTGCTCGTCCCTGTTCTCAGACCACACTGTGCTTTTGTGAATCTGAACCTTTGCACGTGAGGACCTTTAGAGTGGCTTCTCTTTCATTTTCAGACCAGTGATAACTTCTTGTCTTTCAGAGTCCATTAAATGCTTGCTCTTACAAGCAGCCTTCTTGACTGTCGGCCCCAAATAAGGATGAATCTTTCTTCTGTACTGTCATCTGTTTCTCCATTTTATAATTATAGTGTTCTGTCCGGAACTATAGCTAGTTGGTGATTAATCTCCCCTGTAGACCATGAGCCTTGTAAAGGCATGGGGTCATGCAGCTTATTACTATGTCTGCCAGGTGGACATCGGGCCCAGCATAGGGTAGATGCTGAGGAAAGCTTTGCCAAGTTGTTCTAATCTTTTTTTTTTTTAAAGTAGGCTCTATGCCCAGTGTGGAGCCCAATGAAGGGCTTGAACTCATGACCCTGAGATCAAGACCTGAGCTGAAATCAAGAGTCAGACGCTCAAGTGACTGAGCCATCCAGGCACCCCAACCAATTGTCCTAATCTTAATAGCATGCTGTTTCCAAAGAATTAGAGCCAGCTCACAGCATAGGGTCAGAGGATCCCCCAGAACAGCATTCCTTACTTCCTGTTGAGGGTCTATTGCATGCTAGATGTTCTCACACTTAGCATTTTATGCCCACAGCAACCCTATGGTACAGCTATGACTATCTTGCCCATTCCACAGTGAGGCACCTGAGGCTGAAAGAGTGGAGGAACCTTGAAAGGTCCCTTATTAAGGGGTCACTACCTCAGGTCTCCTTGCTGGATGGCCCGGGCTCTCTCCATGGCTCTCAGCTGCCTTGCTGAGGCTCTGTGCTAGCAACAACCCAGAGGGGCAGCTGGTAAAAGCATCCCATTGTTAGAATGTCTCCTAAAGCTATCACACCATATACTTTGAGGGCTTACCCCCTACTTACCAGGAAGGATCCGTCATCACGTCTCGGCCATCAAAGGAGTATATTGGAACCTGTGCATTGAACTGTCCTCCATGGCCAGAAAAAATTGAGTCCCAATTGTTGAAAAGTACTTGGCCCTGTGGAGATAGAAATGCCACGTTGGAATCATTGTGCTATCAGCCTGCAAATGGACTAGCTATTTATTCATTCTTCAAGGCTGAGAGGCCACCCCACGCCAAAGCCACCAGCCCCAATCCCAGAGTCTGGACAGAGTGGGAACTCAAGAAATGTTTGTTGTTTCTTTTATCATCCATCCTTGAACTCTTCTGGTTTTATTGTTTATTTCTTGATGTAATTTCTCTTATTATATGTGTATAAAGCTTCCTCCCCATCAAAAGCATGTTTTAAATCTTTACTAATTTTTATTTATTTATTTTTAGATTTTATTTATTTAATCATGAGAGACACACAGAGAGAGGCAGACACATAGGAATAGGGAGAAGCAGGCTTTCTGTGGTGAGCCCGATGTGGGACTCGATCCCAGGACCTTGGGATCAGGACCTGAGCCAAAGGCAGACGCTCAATCACTGAGCCACCCAGGCGTCCCCTAATTTTTATTTAAAGAATTCTTCTACATATATACCAAGCTTCAAATTAGTGCCAGGGCTTGTGCCAGTCTACACTGCAGGTGATACAGAGCTGACTCTTTTACTCCTCTCCTAAAGGAGCCCAGTTTCCTTCAGTTATCTGTATTCCAAGAATACCAACAATTTGAGGGGGTAAATGTGGCAGAATGGAACCTAAGGATAAGCGATGGGTTGGGAGGTGCCAGGTGTGGGATCAGGATGGACCTTGTTAGCCTTGAGGTGTCAAATTGGAGCACCAGGGTCACAGGGACCTAAGGGTCTCAAAGTACCTGTGAGCTATGGTGAGATCAACATCCAGGATATAGTGTGAGCAGTAGCAGAGCTGTCCCTCTGTAGCCTTAAAGGAGCCGCCTATTTCCATGGGGTAACAGGGGTCCTACTAGGCCCTCCCCTGCCAGTGAAAGGGGGCAGAGAAATATCTGCCAGGATTTGGCAGCTTAGATGTTCCAAGAAGACCAAAGTACGGTGTAGGATACTGCTCTGGGAGCTCCCCAGCTCTTCTCTGGTGCCACCCAGCCAATGCCCTACAGAAGGCAGCCCTGGGTGGAACTGAGAGTCCCAGACTGGGAGTCAAGGACTTGACTTCTGGTTTATAGTGACTTCCAGCAAACTCCTTTCTTCCTCTGTGCCTCAGTTCCCACACTTGACAATCTGAAGAAAGAATGCCCCCTTCTTTTATTGGAAGTGTCTATTAAGATAATGGATGTAAAGCACTTTGTAAACCTAAAGAAAAGTGACATAACTAAAAGAAGTGATTATTGTTATTCCTTCCTTTTGTCTGATACAAGAGCCATACTGTCCAAGCAAGAAGGGCCATGGCAAATATAAGGAAACTGAGGCACAGAGAGGTTAAATTGACCCACCCAGTCACACAACCAATCAGGGACAGGCAGGGTCTGGAACCAGCACACTTCTGATGACATCAGGAAGTGGCAGCTGCCTGCGGTCCCTGTGGAGACCAGTGCATCGGGGAGACAATGGGAAGAATATTTATTTTTACCTTGAGGTTCACTATTGGAAGGCTGTATCTCTCTGCTTTCCTCACCACCGTGGAGAGGTCTTGCAGATGGGAGGATAAGAATGCTCGGTAGGTGGACAACAGCCCCGCAGCCCTGGCCTGCTGGAAGCACTGAAAATCAGCTCGGATGTCCCCAGAAAATGGCGTGTTCAGGGCAACCAGGTGCAGCTGGGAAAAGTAAGTGAGCGTTAAAAGAGTTGAAGGCCAACCCTGAGCCCCATACCCATCTCATGTTGATAGTAAGATCCAGACTTCCTGGGATGGAACGCACTATAGGTCACCTCATTCAGCCCCTGCCTGACCATCTCCAGGGCAGGAGAGCTCGGAGCCCCAGTCAGCCTGCTGCAGCTCTCTGAACTGCTCTAAAGGGTGGAGATTGCTTCCATAATGAGAAAACATAACAAAATAAAGCACTTCAGAGATCTGAGTCCAGTGTGTAGACCATTTGCTGGAGACTTCTGGGTCTGCCCTAGTTCAGCTTCCAAGAGGGTTTTAAGCCAGCTTTGCTACTGGATCCTAGAGTTAAACCGAGTTATCTGGCCTTGCCCTTTCCTCTACCTCCCAAGCAGGCTGGGGGCTGATCATGAGGGGCCAGAGGGAAAGGCACTTTTACAGGAGAAAGTCATGACATTAATTGCTAAGACTGCCGGGTAGACCCTTTTAGAAACCAGGGGGTCACACAGTAACTCTACCCTCACATTCCTTGCCACCTTGGTCAGCAGCCAAAATAAAAGTTCTTCCAGAGCGTGTTTTCTCCCACATTTTCTCTCCCAAAACCCATCCCTCTCTCCCAGCCTTCATGCTGTGCCCTCTAGAGTACATTCTGTAGCATATGTCCAAGAGTAGTTCTCTCCCTCCTCGATGTCACCTCAGGAGTGACTTTGCTCTCATCAGCACAGAGCTGGGGAGGTCTGGTGCCAGACCCTGGGCCTCAAGTCTCCAGAAAACAAAACAAAACAAAACAAAAAACTATTTCAAAATATCTTAAACCAAAAGACGTGAAATGAGCCTTGTGTAGTGAGGCAGGAGGTGCTCAGTGCTTCTCTCCCCATTTCTGCACTGCCTCTCAGGCCTGAATGTCCCCAGCACCAAGCTTCTATATGGCCCAACACCAAGTGTCGCCATATTGGCCTTCTTCCGCTCATCAAGTGTCCAGCCAATTGGGCACAGCTCACTATGAACTACAACATCTAGCCTGCCCCACGCAGTCCATGCACTTCTCTGGACGTTCTTCTCCATTTCACCACCGTTTCCTTCCCCATTTTGAAGAGAAGAGACTCCAAGCATGCAATATCTCCTAATTTATGATTTTTATTCATTTCTGTTCTGCTTGTATCACCGTGCTAGATGGAAGGCCAAGTTAAGCATGCCCCCCCATCCCCCAATTGAGACAAGGCTTCCCTGCAGCCCTCCCAGCAGCAGCCCTTAGGATGGGGTGGGGGCTGCAGCACACTGCTCACTCACCATGACCACTTTCAGCCCACCAGACTTCCGGCCCCCCACACAAACTCTGTCATCCTCCCTCCCATGTATCTGCAGACTAGCACCTGAGGGAAGAGGCCCTAGGGTCTCATCACCCTCTGACCAGCATGTTTCTGGTGGCTATACCCAAGGGCTGTCACAAGAGGATGGCATCCCTACACCAGGGGACACCTATGAAAGGCACAAGAGGTACATGCAGGGCTTCCCTGCCATGCCTCCGATCCCATCCATCTCCACGTCTCCTTCTTTACATAGAGATACATAAATAGAGAACTACCTGGAATGATGGTGGTTTCTGAATGGTGGGATGGGGGGCTTTTGTGCTCTCAGGTCTGTATTTCTCTAAGGGCTGGAACATTTTTCATAATGAATATGCTATCATTTTTATGAACATATTTTATGAATAATGTTTCAACAATCAACTTGTTAAATGGGTGATTTTGGGGGATGGCTGTAGTTTCGGTAAAGGTATAGGTAATTTACTGCTTCCTTCCCCATTCTTTGTATTGATTATCCAAACTTTCTATAAAATACATATGACTTTAGAATTTATAAAATACTATTTTAGAAATCTTTCAGTGGCTGCCCTAACTTCTCCCCTTCATGGCTGAGCTTTTGGAAGGGTTATCTCCTCTCTCTTTCCTCATCTCACCTCCCATTTATTCCTCAAGCAACTGGAATCTCGTTGGCATCCCTCCATGCCCCAGAAATGTTCTTCTCTGGCTTCTAAATTTGGAGGACACCATTTTGGTTTTTTGATGGCCATCTTGGCAGCATCTGACATTGTTGGCTTCTACCTTGTTTGGCATTCTTTCTCCCTCTCTGGCTATGGCTTCTATTTGTTCTCATGTTTCTTCCATCAGTTCCTTTTTGTTTTTGTTCCTCGCCCTCCAATCTCTTCTCAGTGTGCAGACTTTCTTTTGGGAATCCTACCACCCCCCTCACCCATGCCAATGGCTGGGAGGAAGACTCCCAGGTCTGTATCTCCAGACCAGACCCTCAATCCCACACCCTCTGGGGGCCTCCACTCATGTATCCTACAGGTACCTCAGACTCACAGTATCCTGGATCAGGTCCTGCCTGATGAGTGGCAGCACCATGGGAAACACATTTCTGACATCTGCCGAGCCCATGCCTCATTTTTTGAAAATGCCCACATGACTTTCGTTATAAAGAGTGTCCTTAGGCCATTCAATCTCAATCTCTTGGCTACGTTTGATTTGGCTGGGAGTGGGCAATGAGTCCAACATGACCCAGGTAGGCAACCTCTCCCCAGACCCTAAACTGAGTCAGGAGTACTGGGCTCTGCAGCTGTAAGACCACATGGTGTTGATGTCAAGATCAGTGCCATGGCAATGCAAAGCAGCGTGTGAGCTTTGTGGCCGTGACCTGTGTCTGTGTGTTGGGATGGGGTGGAAAGGAGGCAGGAGGAAAGAGGCTTCCAGAAGCTGGTCTGTAGAGCTACTGAGCAGGCTTAATAGCAGAGACAAGAGTCCACAGGCCCAGTGGTACTTCCTGCCATTGTGTGTCCGAAGGCTCCTGCAATTAGCTGCATAAAATCTTCCCTTAAGCTAGAAGGGAAAGAGTCAGAGTTTTAATTCTGGCAACAAAATGATCCTTGGGAAAGAAACTAGAGCCACTCAATTATCCAAGCAGAAACTTGGGCATCATTCCTGATCTCCTTTGTCCTCGCTGCCCCATATTCATACCAGTGACCAAATCTGTCACTCCTGCTTTTTTTCTCCAGTCTTCTTATTTTTTCTACGTGTCCAGGGCCATGATCCTAGTTCAAAGACTACAACAGCCACCTGTCTTTGGGCCCCTGGTCCTGTCCCCTCCAATCCATTTGTACACTCTAACCATGGTAATTTCCAAAATGCCAGTTTCCTTCAGTAGCTCCCCACTGTCCAATGGAACAGGTGCAAGTCCTTAGAATTGGCTTACCAGCCCTTGATGACGAGCCCCCACCCCTCCAGCCAGACGAAGTCCTCGCAGTTACACAAATATCCAGTGCTTCCCCCCGCCTCCCTCTGCTCCAAATCCCCTCGGCCTCAATGCCCTCTCTCTCCCTCCCACCTGGCTCCACCCTGCTCTCGGCTCTCCTGCAGGTCTTAGCTCAGAGGTTACCTCCTCTAAAAAGGACAGAATTCTTGGACGTTCCTCACACCCTGGCACCCTGCTTGCCTCACCCCGATGACTCACCACACTACTGTAACTACCTATTTTTTTAAAAGACATTATTTATTTATTTATTCATGAGAGACACACAGAGAGAGGCAGAGACACAGGCCAAGGGAGAAGCAGGCTCCCGCAGGGAGCCCGATGCGGGACTCGAACCCAGGACCCCGGGAACATGACCTGAGCCCAAGGCAGACCCTCAACCCCTGAGCCACCCAGGTGCCCACCTACCTATTTTTTTGTTGGCCCTTCTTGCTAGTCTCTATGCCTCTTGAGGGCAGGGACCATGCACCAAGCATGGGGCAGGCACTCAATAGATACATATGCAGCAATTGCAGGAAAAATGCATGAACTGTACTTACCGCAGGCCTCTCGTAACTGATGCTTGAAAGGGGCATCCGTGGAGGCGGAAGCTGATGTGGCTGTTATGTAAAAGAGGAAAACAAACGGTCCTGAATAAGCATCCAATCTGTTCTCCAGAGTACACTGAGGTGCAAGTGTGATGTTTCATGAATAAATACTTTAAATAGTCTGCCATTGTCTTCAGGCCACTCTGAACTGCCAAGAGTCTCATGTCCTTCACCTCCCTCCCGGCCCCCCGCTGTGAAGAAATGATCTTCAGAAAGGGAGGGGATATTCTCAAATCTTTTACAGAGAGCACTGAACCAAGGAACCAAAAGACCCATATTTTAGAGCCAACTCTTCACTTCGTAGAGCAGTCAGCAACTCAGAGTCTCAGTTTCTTGAACTGCAGGGTGGGGATGGCAAGACCTGCCTCAAAGCATTGCTATAGGGCCACAATATGGACGGACAATGGAAGTCGCCAACGTTCTTATCAGGCCAAGGAGTCTCAGAGTGCAAAACGTGAAGGGCTCTTCTAGATTGCCTATGGCAACCGTGACTTCACAGGGAATAAACTGAGGCCAAGAGAGGGAGAAAGCCTGTTGCCCAAGAGGATTCAGCTATGACATGCAAACAGCAGGTCTCTGGCCTCCGGGTCCAGTTCATCCACTGCTCTACTGTGAGAACATTCTGTTGGCACTTGGTAACTTCTGGCCTCCCGCCAGATACTAAACCATGCAGAGCTGGCTGGCCAGAGGCTGGAGAGCTTGGTTCTGGACACCAAGGGGGTACTTAGTGGATGCCGATGAGTGAAGGAGCGAGAAGTAGGGCTGGGCAGCTACTCACATTGCTGGAGAAGGCAGGGGGCGGTGGGCTGTCAGCCGGAATGGGGATCAGCTCTCCCAGCTGGAAGAAAACAGTACATTGAAAATGAAACCTCAACTAGAAATCGTTAGCCTACCCTCAAACAGAAAAATGGCATTTCCAGGGGTCGATTATGATTTTTTAGAGGGTATGTGGAAGCAGTCTGTTAAAAGAAGTTTAGCATTACCTGTAATTTCTTCCAACCATCTCGGACCCGAATGAAGAACTCAGTGCTGTCCCTCAGGTAGATGAATGTCCCTTCAATAACCAAGTGTGCTTTCTGCAACATGTCATCCATGCTGCTAAATGCCGTAACCTGTAGGAAAAATTTCCAGTCCAAACAGTGCAGTTTTATCGTTAGAGCAGTGGCACAATTCGAAAAACCAGCCTTTGAGAACTCAAACAGGAGCCATCTCCTGAAAGCCAGCAAAAAGGCTCTCTGTGCCCTAGAAAGACATGGAACTTCATTAATAGCCAAAGGACATTCTTTGTGAAGAAACAAAAACACAAATTAGCTTGGACCACAGATCTATACTGTAATAAATAAATGAAAACTGGACCATGATATTCCATGAGCAGAGATGTTTAAAAAGTGTAAAGAGAGTTGTCTTTCTTCAGTCCTGATAATAACAAAATCGTGAGTACCTTTTGCCACTTGGATTTGCGTGAGCTGCCCAGGGGCACTGATGTTGTTAAATGTGTTTAGCTCCTGCTACTCCATAAAGAGTTTCAGTTTTGTTCTCATTTGGAATAAGAAATGCAAGCTAGTGAGGAATTCCAAGTAGGGTTTAAATCGTTTTGGCCCCGCTGGTTAGTTGTAATATTAAATTACAGGAGAGACAGTAGGGGTCTGTATATCCCTCGGTCTAGAAAATGGCCAAAGATTTGCCATCCATCTTGGCAAATCTGGGAGCAGATACAAAAGCTACAAACATCTATTGACAAGCATCACGTCTCCAAGAAATATTGGCCAAGAGAGCTTTTATTTTTCATCTCAACGGAGAAAGGTAATAAAACATTAATTTTCACCTAGCCTGGAAAATAATGAGTTTGTGCATCAAAATGGCTTAGAAAGCCCCCAAAGGCACCAGATATCAAAATTCCATCAGCTGCTGGATGGATTTTTCCTCAGGCAGCCAAATTTTCCAACTCCAGCCAAGATCCTGGCGTATTCCCAGGACTCCTGACATCCTTGTGAGGTTGTCTGTCTCTCTTCCTGAGCATCGTAATAATCTCTGAGTGCTACACACTGGACCAATGGTGTGCAGGCAACCAGTGTGTGAGAGATATCCCCTGGCAGGAGAGACAAGGCGGAACGACCCAGGGTAAGTCTGACCCAGACAGGGCCTGCCACGATACCGTTTATACTCTTGTGCTTATGTTTCTAGATGTCATCTAATTGGCTCTTGTTATAGTTTAGTCAATTAAGGATTAGAAGGATGGAACCAAAGTCATACGTGATTTTGCATTCTGTGTCTTTTTACTTGATAAGCCACCTAAAGAGATCCTAAGTAGCCTCTGTATGTGAAACTGTACCAGTTCTATCGCCAGGGAGGCCTAATTCTTACATAAAAGGTGTGCCAGCCCCTACGCACTAGAGTTGATGTTCTAAGTAAACCCATTAGGAGCAGAAGGATGAAGACACATGGATAATAATACTCACCAGGTTTCTGGATCCCGGAAGCCCTGGCTGTCCTGGAGGGCCGGGTGGACCCGGAAGGGCCACAGCTAAAACAAAGCAGAAGAGAGAAGTTACAAAAAGGCATATTCTCCATGCAATGCCTCAGATGTCAGCTGGTCACCTTGGGGAGAATTTGCAGCCCCATTCAGAGCGATGCCAGGCACGGCACCTGGCATCTGTACCTTGGGGACCATGAGCCTGGCCTGGGACTCAGCCACATTGATGGGCTTGGGAAAGAGCTGCGATTCTTGACCGTAGCCCTGGATGAAGCCACACCAGGACTTTCTAGCTTCCTAAGTGAATAAGTTCCTGTTGTTTCTGTTGTCTGTAAGGGTCAGTACAATTGGGATTTCCAGAAATGTCATGATTTGGGCAAGTTACGTCAGCCCAGAGACTAGACATGCAGGGAACTACCGAACAGAGGAGGCAGCCTCAGAAAGAGGAAGGGAGGTGGCAGGCTGCAGAAGCGGGGCAGGGCAGCGCAGCAGCAGCAACAGGAGGAGCCTTGGCCTTGGGGCCAGGAGACACAGACTGAGGCTCCCGAGCTGTTGTTTCTCGGCTGTGTGATCCTGGGGAAGCAACAAGCTCTCTGAACCCCTGCTTCCTCACCTGTGAGATGTAAACCAGCCTTTCCTCTTCACTGTGGTGAGAACAGAGAAAGGATAGAAACTAGGGATATGCTTTGCACACTGCCTAGCGTCCAACCCGAGGTTTGTAGTGTTTGAGGAGTCACTGCCCTCTTTCCTAGAAAAATGCCCATACCCATGCTCTTCTTCTGCCTCTCTAACCCCCGTCCCACCCCCCAAATCTGCAAAGCTCATGGCAGTTCAGGAGGTTTTTACAAGTCCCAGTAAAATTATTATATGAGATTTTTCAGGTTGTTGCGAGGAAGTCTGCAGTTGTGACCTAGGACTTGGACAGCATTACATAGGTGGTGCATATCTGGTGAGGGGAGGGTCGGAGGACTTGGATCTGGACCTCAGCCATGCCTCCTACTAGTATTTGTGACCTTGAGCAAGTCTCCTAACCTCTCTGAGCCTCAGTGCCTTCATCCATGAAATGAGTTTTACAGTAATATCCATTTCCTCTCCCTCCCAGGGTCACTGTGAAGATTAAAAGCAGTAATTGATATAAGAGCATTTTGTAAAGTGTGCCTTGCCGTGCATTAGGCGAGGGGCAGTCCTTAGTGGAGCGAGGAGCCCTGGGCAGCATCTCATGTAGAGCTGCTATGAACGACAGATTCTCTGCATCTTGTAACGTCTTTCCTCCTCCTGCAACTCCTGCTCATCCCTCAAGGTTGTGTTGGCACCTAGGTTTTATCTGCCTAGTACCTTCTTTCTCTGTAGGACCAGTATCCTCACCTTCTCTTGAAATCTTCCCCTTCCCCTCTACAACCATTTGGATTCAGAAGGCCCCGTCATGTTCTCATGTGATCCCACCTTCTGGCCACAGGTGACCGGCCCGAGGTTGGGTATCTGGGCCAGGACAGGTTAGTCAGAATTCTTCCCTAGGACTTCTCCACCCCAGGACCTTTCAAACTAAAACTGAGAAAGAAGGCCAAGATTTCTAGCTGACTATGGAAACTCTGAGTTGTCAGTAACCATGTTTCCCACCGTGCAGAGGATGTGGTCTGTGGTAGCGAAACGTGAAGCTAGCTACAGAGAGGAGCTGACACAAGAGATGGCCAAAGAATTCTCGTTTCTGGTTCTGGCTGTGCCTGAGGTCCTGCTGCATGCCGCCCTCTCCCACAAAAAATTATTCATTTCCTTTTTCACATCCAATAAACTTCCCTTTTGCTTAAGATAGTTTGAGTTACATTTCCATCACTTGCAGCCAAAAAAATGCAAGATTAAGTGAAAGGCCCAGTCCTGAAGTCACGTCCTGTGTAAAGTTCTCTCTGATGCCCTAGATGGGTCCCTTCCCGGGTGGGCTTCCGCCACACGTGGCTTGTGTCAGTGCGAGCAACCAAAGTGACACATTCATGCTACAATTGCTGCTTTTGCACTCTGGGCCCAAATAAAAGAACACAGGCCTCGGAACTACACTGATCTGGGTCCACATCCCATGTGAGCCCTTAATTAGGCGTGTGACCTCAGAAACATCTATGGGTTTCACTTTTCTCAGCTGTAAAATGGAGATGCCAATTCTTTCTTTGAAGAGCTTTGTGAGAATTCCATGAAATGGTATAGGAAGTGACTAGTGGAATGCTTGGCACTTGGTTAAATGTCCAACAAATGGAGATTTTCTTCTACTTCATCCTTTTATTTTTTTTATTTTTTTTATTTGAGGGAATGAGGCAGCTATGGGTAGGGAGATTTTTATGGGGAGTTAGAATCAATGCTGGTCCTCAAGTCCCCTCAGGGCCAGTCATTAACAAAGCAGCCAAGAAGTTCCCACCTACGCATGAAAGATGTTCCACACCATTAGACTTTAGGGAAAGGCACATGACAACCACCACGAGATACCACCTCATGGGAATGGGTGATGGGTGGAATAAAACAGGTAGGATAACAAGTGTGGGTGAAAGTGAGCAGACACCAGAGCGAAAATGGTGTAGCCACTTTGGAAAGCAAGGTTAACAGGTCCTCAAAAAGTGAAGCAGAGTGAACACGTGTCCCTGCCACCTGGCAATGCCACGCCTAGGAGTACACCCAGGACACCTGAAAACATGTCCATACGAAAACCTGTATACGGATGTTCATGGCAGCACTATTCCCAACAGTCAAGAAGTGGAAACGACCCAGATGTCCATCGGCTGATGAGTCGCTCACCAGAAGCTAACGTGCACACACAATGGACTATCATTCAGCTGGAATGAGGGTGGGGAAGGGCTGACATGCACTAAACTCAGATGAACCCATGACACAACCATGCTGAGCAGGACAAGCCAGACACAAAAGGCCACATATGGTAGGACTCCACTGATGGGATAGGTCCAGAGTAGGTAAAGCCAGAGGGATAGAAAGTAAATCTTCCCATGCCCGGGTCTGGGGTGGGGAGAGCGAAAGAACAACTGCTCATTGGTGCAGGGTGTCTTTCTGGGGCAATGAAAATGTTCTGGAATTAGAGGAGATGGCTGCATGACCTTGTGAATATATTAAAAACCACTGAACTATACACTTTGAATGGGTGGATTTTATGGCACGTGAATTATATCTCAATGTAAAAAAAAAAAAAAAAGAAAGAAAGAAAAGAAAGAAAGCTCCATCCAGGAAATAGCTCTCAGTCATATAATGTGGCACTGACATGCCACTCAGATGTGGTGCCTGACTCTGAGCACAGCAGCAGGGAGAGCACAAATGACCACCATGCCCAGTACTGACCTGCACCAAGGATAGCTGGTGGTCCTGGGGGCCCTGGGGGTCCCGGTGGCCCAGGGGAACCAGGTCTTCCAAAGCCAGGAGGCCCAGGCAGGCCAGGAGCACCCGGGGGTCCCTGGGGCCCGATGACAGTCTCCCCCTTCTGGCCCTGTCAAGGCAAGAGCACAGTAACAGAACAGAGAACACAGAACTGACCTCTAGAAGTCCAAGCTCTTCTTTGTATAAGGGTATTTGTAAAAAAAAAAAAGTCAGTAACTACCAGCTACGGCTATCATTATCTCCATGCTGGGCACAGCTCAGCTGGTATAGGACCTCACACCCAGTCGTTATGCTCAGCGTCACTGCATCCAACTCCAGAGAGCCCTGGAGTCAGAAGGGCCCCGACTTCACATTTAACAGATTAAAAAACTCAGGCCCGGAGAGGTGACAGGGCTTGTTCCAAGTGTCAAACCCAATTAGCAGCAGAGGTGGAAGTAGACGCTTGGTCTCCTGGCTTTGCTGGGTCTACCTTCATGGTGAGCTCTGGGACCAGAAGTTGCTTATGGTTCCTAAGGGTCATGATCTGGTCATAATTTCTCTCTTGTGAATTTCTCTGAATTTCTCTCTTGTGAGCTGGAGAAACTTGGCATCTTAAGAAGACTAAGTCTATCTAGGGGCTCCTTCTTTGATGAAATTTCAGAAGAATCAAACAGCTCTTCTAAAAATATCTCCCTCGCCTTCTATTCTGTCTTCATTATCTGATATGTTCACTGTCAGTAACTCCTTGGGTTGAGAGAATTTTCCACCACTGACATGAATAAGGCAGTGTGGTTAGTGGCTTGAAAGTTACTGAATGCATATGGCCAGGGCAGCTCCCTTTCTTCCGTGGGCCTCAGCCAACCTCCCCATCAGTAAATAAATATAAGGGAGAGAGACCAATGCCCAAGTCCTGCCTCCAGCTTATGGTACAGTGACAGACCCTTGACTCTCCAGCTGCCTAGTCCCACTGGGGAGCTTCAGGGAAGGCTGTGATTTACGGAGGCAGATGGCGAGAAGCCACTACTCACAACCAAGCCAGGACTTCCCGGCAGGCCTGGAGGCCCTGACACCAAGAAATCACCGTGAGAGTCTCCTTTTTCTCCTTTGATCCCCCTGTCTCCATTCTCCCCCTGCAAGCAGAGAACATTCAGTGAGAGTAAGATGAACCGGTCTCTGATATAAGCCCAAGCACTTGAAAACAGAGGCCAAATGTTTGGTAGAGAAAAACTCACCTTCAAGCTGTTTAGAAAGTGTCTCAGGTAAGTTGGATCCACTGGAGGGCCTGAAAAAGAAATGCTGTGTAAAATTCACAACCATAACCTCAGAAATTTAAAAATAAAAATTTCCAGAGGAGCCTGGGTGGCTCAGTCAGTTGGGTGTCCGGCTCTTGATTTCAGTTCAGGTCATGATCTCAGGGTCATGAGATCAAGCTCCATGTTGGGCTCCATGCTCAGTGGGGTGGTGTCTGCTTGAGGATTCTCTTTCCCTCGTTCTCTGCCCCTCCCCCTGCTAGTGCGCTCTCTCTCTCTCTCTTTCAGAAGTCTCCAATTTGGCAACCATCATCATGCCCCAGCCAAAGTGACCTCACATTGGTTTAGCTGATGGAGTGGGCAAGGGTCTTGGAGGCAGAAATGAGTCCTCGACTGGGCCCCACAACCCAGACACTGTGGGACACTGGGCATGACCCTAGCCCTCTTTGGGCCTCATTTTGCACAGGAAGCATGAATAGATTGGAACTTCTGGTCTCTCTTGGCAATGTTCCATGTTGGGTATGCATCACCCATGACTGGGTCTCTCTAGAACTCCATGGAGCTTGTAGTCAGGGTGGTAATATAATTTCTCTTTCCGGCTCAGTTGGATTTCTCAGGAACAAAAATCAAAGGCAAGATCCAGAACAATAGTTGCAATACCTGGTGGTCCCTGGGCCCCCTGGTCGCCTTTTTCTCCTTTGGAGCCAGGAAGACCCCAGGATCCTTTTTCTCCTTTAACACCTGCCACCAAACACATATATGTTAAATTTTTTTTTTGAAGACAATGGAAAATCACCTTCATTCTGCATAAAATGTTTCTGAGACAAGTTGTCCAACAGAGCCCCTTTGGCGAAATCCACTCAATAAATGAAGGCCTAGCGAAGGTATGAAATCCTTTGGTAAATGCTGGGGAGGGCAGAGGTGGATGCATCAGACACAATTCCTGACCTTGAAAAGCCCTGTGTCCTTGGGGAGATGGACACAGCGGAGGCTAACCCGAAGCAGGGTGGTGTTCAGGGGTCAGCCAAGACTGCAGTTAACTCTTCTAGACAGCTTCATGCATGCAGCCTGGCTCAACACCCTGGCTAGCTTCCGGTCCCATCTCACCTCCGCCTGTGTAGCATGGTGCTGTAGGGGAGGAGAGGACTCTCCCAGGAGTGCCCTCAGAGGACATGAACGGTGCTAAGTATTCCATGTACAAAGTTGTTAGGACAACCAACTGTGTCCTCCACCACCATCCCTCAGGACTTACGAGAAGCACCCTCTCTCTCCAGCTCTTTATATGGGGGACAAGCATGGAGGGAGCCTCCTGGGAGTTCAGCACTGGGGAAGGGAAGCAACCCCCTGTCCCCACTCTGATGGGTAGGGTAGACACTAGATCTCTGAATTCCTAGTTCCCAAGAGGTGACAGATCCACCGAGCAGTGTCCTCGAGCCTAGAGATGGGGCTTGGAGGCTCAGGCTTCCCAGCACAAGGGGAAGGAGAGTGAGTGCCAGAGGCACGATGTGCCAGCTGGGGGTCATCTGGGAGATGCGATTGCAGGGCCAGGGTGGCAACGCGTCCACCTGCCCACTGTAAGACCGTAGGCAGTGGTGCAGCCCAGAGAAGGGGCCACTGAGCCCACCACCACCACCGATGGGGCTGCTCACCTCAGGGAGCAAGAGTTAACAGCCACAAGGAAGTAGGACACAGGCTTGCCAGGGGCTGTCGTGTCCAGAAAGGTCAGTTCCCTCCCCTGCATCCCAGAGCAGCCCCACAGGGATAGGGAACCACTGGGGACCTGAGACAGCAAATCCAGCTCTAGTTGCCTCCCCAGGGTCCACCCTGCCCCAGGGGCAGGGGGAGAGCCTTGAACCGGAGCTGAGCATGGAGGGTGACAGCAGTCTGCACCCTGTAACCCAAAGCAACAGAAGAAGCACAGGGCCAGATATCATCAGACCACCGCCTGGCGGGCCACAGACAACAGAGCAGAGCCAGAGGTCAATATTAGGGGCGGCGGGGGCGGGGGGGGGGGGGATTGACCTTTAACTGATTCAACTGCAGATGTTCAGGCCTCTCAATCAAAGTGGAAGACAGAGTGACAGGGGGTGTGGGGACAGGGAACGAGAGTGACTGCTCCCAGGCAGGCTCCTGGTTTCCTGACCTACGCCCCTCTGAAGACTTACACTAATCAGACGCCCAGAACCAGTGCCCCGCATACTTTACTGTGCATACAGCTCAGGGGGGGGGGGGGGGCGGGGGGGGAGGCTTACAATGCAGCCTGTGATTGGGCAGGTCTGCAGTGGAGCTTGAGATGCTGCATTTCTAACATGCTTCCAGGAGATGCTGCTGCTGCTGGTCCAAGAACACTTTGAAGCAAAGGTCTTTGGAGCTCCCATGGCCCTTCCCTGTATTCATTCCTGGTACGTTGCATCATAATGATTTTTAAAATAGTTCCATCGAATGGAGCCTAAGGGCCTGGGTGGCAGGAACGGCACAGGATTCATCTGCCTCAGCCCAATGCATGGGATAATATCATGAACCATGGTCTCAGTCGATGTTTTATGAGCAAATTAACAAACAAATGGACAAATGGAGTATCTCCTGCAGGCTGGAAGCCCCAGTCAAGACGTATAGACCATATGGAGGTGTGACAAAACCAAAAAGAGATGCTCAGCCCCACAAGCTGGCTCAGCTCCCCCTGCTTCCAACACATGCAGCCAGACCTTCCCAACCATGGGTCTTATGTCCAGCACTGGGAATGGAGACCACCTTTTGTGGAGCTACAAGGGTCTGGAAAAGTCCCACAGAACCATAAGGTGAAGAAGGGAAACCGTACCATGAAAGGTGATAAGTTCTGAATTCCCCGGATGAGTGGTATCAACCTGGAGAGAAAGAGAGTCAAGGTCATAATGTGCGAGCCCTGTCCTGGCATTCGCATCCACAGGTAGCCACTGTCCCCTGTCCTGGCGGTGTGTGTAGGAGGCACAGTGTCATGGAGTCAGGCCTTTCTTTGGCTATGGAGCCCCCAAAAGTCCTGAGCTCCCCCGTGGGAGCTCATGGCACAGGCCAAACCAGGCCTTCAACTGGAGGGGCCCATTATGCAGCCAGGCCCGGGGGGAGACTTACTGGCCGAACAACTCTGCTGAGGGAAAGGCCAACGCTTCAAGATAACAAACCGTGGCCCACTATGAGTGTTCTTCGCCTCTTTTATTATTATTTAGGACTGATTCATGTGAGAGGTCAAGCATCCCAGTGAGTGGTGTACCCAGCCACGAGGCTGGGCCAGCCATGAGTTCTGCTGCTGCACAGAATCAAGGATGAGCATATTAATGAAGAGGAGCTGATGATGGTAGTGATAATTAATAAGGGGGGAGGGTTATCATTTGGTTGAAGGACTATTCTAGATGCTCCATTACGTGCTGGGTATCCAAGTTGTCCTAAATAATACTCCTTCCCAGTTCATTCTCAGATTCCTGCATTTTCTTATCTATAATACAGAGCCACCCGCGAATTTGCTTTCATATCCAACTTCACCTTTTGCCAGGTGAGATGTGGAGTCAAAACGACCCCTCTGGTACCAGGATCCTCTTAGTTTTGGGTGGAGGGTCACCAAGAGAAGATGGGGCGGGGAGTGGATGGGAGTCCCCCAGGACCAACATTTCAAAGTTGGCTGCAGTGCCAAGCTGCTATTTTGTGGCTACGCTGATAAGGATCCTCCTCTCCAGGTGTAGGCTGGCAGTTGTGGTGTCAGAAAGGGGCTGAAAGTGAAGGGGCTCATGGCACGATGGACGTGGCACAAAGCAGTTCTTTGTCAAGTGTCCATTTTGAGAGCTGGTCCGGAAATGTCCATGCCCCAGCCCCGTGGTGTCCGACGGCCAGGCAAGGTGAAATAAAATATTCATCAAAAGTGCTCTGAGCTCATCTTTGGTTTTTCTTCAGTAACCTCATGACCCCAGAGGCCACAGCTACGCCAAAGGTCCTACCACAGGCCACGACAACTGCAGTAGCATTTTTACAAAATCTCAAGTTTGTGAGGTGCTGCCCTGTGGTGGTGCCACTGACACCCGCAATCATGTTAGCAGAGGGGGGCTTTGGGTACAAACTCCCAGGGGACTGGGAGCAGATGGTCCCTCCTTCTGTATGATAAGGAGGTGGAATGCAGCTACCTTTCAGGCCTCAGGCCACGGATGTAAACATGACCTGGCTTGCTGTTGTCCTTACAGAGATCTGGAAGCCAGCAAGCCCTTTGGCCATCTTAGTGGATCATGTCATTTGCATTCTAGGCCAGAGTTCCCCGGGCCCTGGGCTGCAGACTTGGGTGCCTTAAAGTTTTGACCTGGATAGATGTCCAGGCAAACACTCAACCAAAGTGCGTCATTTGAAAGCGTCTAACCCAAGCCTCACCACCACACCCAACACATCAATTATGAACCCACTTCAAGGGATCTTTCTACGCTGTCATTTGCAAGCTCCTGAGAATGGAGGGCACGCCTGTCTAGTTCACCCCTGTGTCGCCAGGGCCCTGCAGAGTACTTGGCTCTCGGTAAGCCCTCAAGAAATACTTGTTGAATGAGTGAAAAAATGATCACACGTCGCTCCTAGACTAATGCCTGTGCACAGGGACAGGCCCCCTCTCCCTGGGCTTCCCCACAGAAACAGAACCCTCCCAATATACAGGGAGTCACAGTGTTTGCACCTGCTGCCTAGTGGCCAGGGGACCCAAGGGATAACCCCAGCTCTGTCAGGACCATGACCCTGGACAACTCAGTGACTTGTGTGAGTCACAGTTTGCTTGCTCATTATAAAGTGGGAGGGAGAGCGCTTGCCTCTCAGGGCTGTGTGCCTCGCAACACCGCAGTTGGGAAGGGACAGCACACACTCAGTTGTAGGTTTTGGCCCATAGTTCCTAATGCAAGGAACACTGATTGGAACTGCTTTATCTTCCCATCGATATTTTTACAAGGTTTGTCTTCCTTCTTACTCTACTGCAGCACGCATGAAGCTAACGTGGTTACAATAATAAAAGACACTGCTTTCCTGACTGCATTAAAGAAAGATTCTGACAGTGTGTACACCCTTAGAAGATCCAGTATGTTTCACAGCCTAACAGATAACACGGTGTGTTATTCTAGAAGCATCTAGCTACTTACTTAAGGGTCTATATGTAGGGGATAGGAGACATCAAGAGGACATTGATAGACTGTAGGCGCCCAAGACAAAGAAAGACTGATCACCTTCTCTAGGTCGCTTCCTTTTTTTTTTTTTTTTTTGAAATTAAATGTCATTTATTTATTTTTTTAATAAATTAATTTTTATTGGTGTTCAATTTACCAACATACAGAATAACTCCCAGTGCTCATCCCGTCAAGTGTCCCCCTCACTGCCCGTCACCCATTCACCCCCACACCCGCCCTCCTCCCCTTCCACCACCCCTAGTTCGTTTCCCAGAGTTAGGAGTCTTTATGTTCTGTCTCCCTTTCTGATATTTCCCACACATTTCTTCTCCCTTCCCTTATATTCCTTTTTATTTAAATTCAATTAATTAACATATAACTTCAGAGGTAGAGTTCAGTAATTCATCAGTCTTACATAATACCTACTGCTCATTACATGGCGTGCCCTCCTTAATGCCCATCACCGAGTGACCCTATCTCCCCCCCTCCCCTCCAGTGACCATCAGTTTGTTTCCTAGCATTGCTTTCTATGCCAAAGTCTGCTCTGGAAGGCAGCGACCCTACACGACTTACCGGTGTTTTGCAGTGCGGCCGGGCTGGTATGGGGAAGACAGCCTGTGCGAAGTGAGAGCAAGAGAAGTGAGGCCCTTGGGATCCCTGACTCCAGGCACTCTGGGGCCCATTGTCCGCTGTCCCCTGAAGGTCTCCCCACCTCCCCCACACCTACTTACTCCTTTGATGTTAATCACAGCTCCAGGAGGCCCAGGGGGACCCGGAGGACCAGGTAAGCCAGGTGGGCCCTACAGGGAGGAAAAAGGCCATTCCTGAATTCAGGTTATTGTGAGTACATACATACTGCAGGATATTTTCTCCAGAGTTTGGGGACACAATGAGAAAAGAAGAGTCCTCTAAAGCCGACTAACTTCTCCCACAGGTAGGCCTGACACTTCTAAAGAGAACGTCTACATCCGTGAGCCCATTGCATCTTTACAGCAAGCCATGGGGGAGGACAGTGGAGCAAGTATTATCCCTGGTTTACAAATGGAGACAGAGGCCCAGAGAGGGGCAGTGATCCGCTCAAGACCACACAGTCAGAACTCAGATTCTGACTCCCAGAGCAGCATCAGCCAACACAGAACCCACCAACTCTCTAGTAGCACATCCCTGGTATGAAGGGCCAAGTGGGGTGGGGAGGATCCTTCACCTGATATGGTACCTGGGACAGTGCCTCAAAAATGCAAAAATAAATGCAAAACTCTTTTTCAAGAGCAGAGTTATTTTCAAAGCCAGGTCAGCCTGGCCTTAATACCACACAGTGTCTTCTCCTCCCCCTGGATCCGAAGCAGGACCTTGCAGCAGGAGGGGTTAGGCTCTGACCACAGGCATGAGGAGTCTGGCCTGCTGGGAAGCTGCACTAATTACTAAGTGAAGGCACGAGTGTCTGCTTTCCCTAGTAGCTGCAGTGGGCTTGATGGGTGTGAACCTGTCCCCACAAGCTTCAGTAAAATTGCACTTCTGGTTTCTGGACATACAAAGAAGAAACAACGTGATGCAAACAAAAGTAGACTTTGTATTGAGTCTGGTACATAGTAGGTGCTCAATAAATGTTGGCTTCCTCAATAAATGTTGGGGCCTACTGATGTCCCCAGTGTCAGCCACTTCGTGAGACTCCGCCCAAGTAGACACTCACAAACCCGTACTGAGCCCCTAGTGATGTGTGAGATGCCTGGGTCTGGGTATGGAGGGAAGATGGGATAGTATCCCACGGTCAGAAGACTGGGATTTGAGATTCAGATTTCCTGAGTACACCCAGATCCCCTTCTCCCACCCTCCCTCTTGGGTCTGGACAAGGAAGCTTATATTCTATGAAGCTGCTTTCAGGGACAGGGACCATCCTGAGAGTCAGCTGGAGGCCAGGGATGGCCTGGAGGATCTTTGGAAGTGGCAATGGAGGAAGGAGAAAAACATTCCTAAAGATTCTGTCTGCAAGCCCCACTCGCTGGACCTGGCACTGTCCCCTCCCTCCTCTGGACACCAGACTCAGGGCTCTGTCCCTGGGGAGTGAGGGGTTGGGGCAGTGGTCACGTCACTCACCGGCATCATGACCCCTCGGTCTCCTTTGGCGCCCTTGAGGCCATTGAGTCCCGGGCGACCCTGAAACCCACAGGGGATGCCTTAGTAAACCCAATGCCCAGCAGCTAGCCTGGCCCACGTCTCCACCCCTCACATCCAGTTTGAGGAACACCAACACCTACAGGTCGTCCAGGAAGGCCAAACTCTCCTTTGTGTCCTGGCGGTCCTTTGGGCCCCTAGAGGCAAAATATATATCAGATTAGGAAAGAACAGAAAGTCAAAGGCCAGGGTGATGGGGCAGGGGGCGGGGGCGGGGGGCACTGGCCAGCCTTCATGGTCAGGGCTGAAGATGAATCCCTGAGGGGAGGAAGGACAATGGGCAATTACGAAGTAGGCACCTGCCTGGCTCCTGGTCTCCCAACCTCTCTGCTCTCAGCTGGGACCACCTGTCCCACCCCTGGGCTCCCCATGCCCTCCTGCAGGCTCCCCCCAACCCCAGACTCTGGACCCCACCCTCTCCATCAGAGCTAATGAAGGAGCAAGAGGTCAGTAGCTTGGGGCCTCAGCCCTCAGGTAGCTGGGTGCTGGCGTCACTTAGAAGCTGGACTTTTGCTGCTAGGTCTTATGTCCCAGGACTCTCCATGTCTCCAACTGGAATCACAGAGGCCTGCCACACCCTTCTTGGCAGCCCAGCCACAAAGAGGGGTTCCTAGCGCAACCCCAACCCCTGAGAACCAGCTCCAGGATTTGACTCCTGCCTTGCTCCTACTCTCAGGAGTCTTGGGCTGCACCCCACTTCTCCAGGTGAGTCCTTGACCTGCAGACCCTTATTCATTCCAGTGTTGGCTTTCTACATCTTCAGGCTTCTAGAGACACTACCCTGTTCTCATCTCCTGCAGGAACCCTATGCCTTCCGGCATCGGGGATCCATGCAATGCACAATCTCAACCCAGAACAAGCTCTACTTCCAGTATCTTCCCTACTTCTGTACTGGCTCTGCCCTGTCTCCCAGGGGAATGACTAGTTTCAGCCAAGTCCCTTCCTCCTGCTGACATTAACATATATGGCCACGCCCTGGAAAATGGCAAATAAAGCTGAGTGGAAATAGGCTTTGTATGTATGTATAGGTATGTAAAGGACCTGGCCCACATCACTCCTCATCAAAGAAAAGCAAGGACAGAAGGAATTAACAGGGTACAGGCCACTTGGCGGTAGTTCTAGTGCAGAGCTTCTCAAACATCAGTGTGCCTGCGCATCACTGGGGATCTTGTCAAAATGCAGACCCAGGAGGTCCAGGGTGGGGCCTAGGGCTCTGCATTTCTAACAAGCTCCCAAGTGACGCTGATGACGTTGATCCATGAGCCTCCTATAACAAGGCTCCAGGGAGCTTGTAAAGGAGGCGTAAGCTACACTAGTCACCAGGGCCACAGCTCCCCTATATGGCACCTTTATGCAAATTAAAAGGTGTCCCCTACTGTCTGTCCTTGGCAAGCTGTGCACACACAGAACAACCAGCATGGCCACCTGCAGCGGCCTGCTGGCCACCATTGCTAACGACCACCATTTCCCATGGTACTGGATGCTAGTAAGTGGTCAACCAGTGGTTAACGCAATACTCCCCCAGTCTGCCTTAAGCCACAGTTTCTCCTCTGCAGCACATCCATTCTGCCTGACTTAAGGGACCAAAGGCCTCAGGAGGTCCTTTGAAGGATGCACCTTGGAGGTGGTGGGCCATTCATTCATCAAGGACATGCGTCTGGGAGGTATTTCTCCCCAGGTCTGAGGTCCAGCTTCAACCAAGCAAACCCCATGTGCAAATAAATCTCCAGGCCAAATACTTCCAAAGAAGTGTTTCCTGGAGGCAGTGGGGAAAACCTGGCCACAGAGTCTGAGAGGCTTGGTTGAAATCCCTAGTGTACCACTTACAAGCTGTGTGACTGTGGGCCAACTCGTCATTCTCTGTGACCTCAGTCTCCTGATCTGTAAAATGGGGATTCTGATACCGCTCAGAGCACTGAGGATGAAATGAGATGGTCTGTGTGCAGTATCAATGCGGTGCCTCACCCACAGTGGGTGTCTACACACGAATTTTGTTGTTCATTGGTGGTGGTGGGGGACTATATGCCAGAGAGGTTTATAGTTCATTCTGGAGAGAACTGGTAGCTTACAAAACTATTCAGTGGCCCAAATTGGTTACAGATTCCTAGAGCAAGGAAGGCGAGAGGGGGGCTATCGTATCATCTAGTACTAAGTCAATACCTCCACCTTACAGATGGGAAAACAGAAGCCCAGAGAGAGATGGATTTGCTCAAGGCCTCATAGCTAGAATCCAAAAAGCCAGAGAGGACTTCCTGGGATTCCTCTGGGGGCTCCTGGGGCAGTGGCTGTCTCCAGCCGGCAAGCCCAGCACACGGGGCACCTGTGAGTGCTCAGCACCCCAGTGCTCCTCTCCTTGCAGGACACACAGCTCAACCACACTTTTGAGGCATCCCCGAGGCATCTACGTTCTGGCCAGTAGAATGTGCTAAAGTGATATTCATCACGTTCCATGACCTCTTTCCCCTCCGCAACCACAGCCTTCCAGCTGGAAGATGCCAGTGTGGCTTTGAGGCCATCAGATGGTGGAGTCCCAGGTCAGAAGCACCCTGGGTCCCTGAGTCACCGCTCGGAGGGGAGATGCCCACCTAGGAACCACCACCGTGGGTTCAGTGGAGTGAGAAATAAGCTGCTGCTGTGTTGAGCCCCTGAGATTTTTACTTCATTCCAATTAGCCCACCCTAATCCACACACACCTTGCCATACCCTTTCTATCTTCACAACTGGGACAACCCACTCTAATGGAGCCAAAGTATGATAAATTCTTCAGCCCCCAGGCCGGACCCAGCGGAGAGGTGCTCTGGCTTACCATTGGTCCCGGGGCTCCGTGCACTCCAGGTTCACCCTAAAGCAGGGAGATACGAACTTGTCATTCAGAGGGACACAGCGTGTGGCAGGAACAAACGTGGGATGCTTATACACATGTGTGCCTGCAGGGTCTGGTGACACATTTACCTTTTTCCCCTGCAGCTGTTCCAGAGGAATGTCTCCGGTCAGGATGGCACCTGGCTCTCCCTTCTCACCCTGCAATTCAGAGAACCTTTCAGTGAAGTCAGGCCTCCTCCCCATGGCTCACAGTCCTACAGCCCCGCTCCTGCCCCTCCAACACACCACTCTGATGTAACCTGTCACTAGAGAGAGAACCGCAACAGGCTCCTCAGGCAGTGCTCTCTGGGTTATTCCCTCCATACACCACAAGCCCAGGCTGGGGTCCTGCAAGCCTCCCCCACCCAGGGCTCCCACTGCTGATGGATCTATATCCTCACCCCCTACCCTCCAGGAACCAGCCTGACAAGGTCGTTCCCACCTCTTGCTACACGGCACCCCTCTGAGAGCCCCTGGCTCCTAATTTATTTGGTGGCTCACTTTCCCAACAATCTTATTCTTGTTAAAACATCTGTCATTCAGAACATAAAGACTCCTAACTCTGCGAAATGAACTAGGGGTGGTGGAAGGGGAGGAGGGCGGGGGGTGGGGGTGAATGGGTGACGGGCACTGAAGGAGACACTTGACGGGATGAGCACTGGGTGTTATTCTGTATGTTGGTAAATCGAACACCAATAAAAATTAATTTATTAAAAAAAATAAAACGTCTGTCATTAAAAAAAATAAAAATTAAGAAAAATTAAAATAAATAATTATAAAATAATTTTTAAAATAAAAAAAAAAACACCTGCAATTGGAAAACAGACAAAGGTGTGAACACTAGAAGCCTCTCTCGACACAGAGGCCCTGTGGGGGGCCCTGTGGGACATGCAAACCTGATCAGGCAAAGCTATTTCAGAGGCAGGGAACTGGGGAGATGGGGAGACCAGTGGCAAATCCTGCCCCAAATCCCGTCCTCAGCAGAGCCATCTCCTTATCTCAGGAGGCTTCCAAGAAGATATCTCACACAGGGAAGGCCAGGTGGAGGAACCTATGTTACTCTGAGGCTCTGGCTCCAAACTTCAGCCCTGGCCCCAGGAGGCTGGGCCGGACCAGGCCAATGTCTCCCTTCAATGGGTGGGAAGCAGCCAGGGCAGTGGTGCTGAAGCAAGCAGAGCAGCCTCTTCCCTGTGTCCCCCCGAGCCCACACCTCATATCTGGATCTTACCACTCCACTGGTGAGGGAAGGCGGTCCTGAGCATGGCAGCAGTGAGAAGGACAAGCACAAAAGCATTAGAAGCAGAGCAAGAGAAAGCTCGTTTGCTGTGAGGGCTGGAGCAGAGCTGGCTGGGTGCCCATCCCAGTGTTCAAGGCGGCAGGAGCTTAGGGGCAGCGATGGCATGTAGGTCCCTCTAGAAACAGCGGTTAAAGCAAGAACCACTCTTGCTTGACCAGGCCTCCTCCCAAGCCAGAGCAGCTCCTCCCAAGCCAAAGGCCCATGGCAGCAAAAAGCATCCCAAGACATCGTCCCATGCGGCGCCAAACTTAGACCCCTTCACCCAGGACACTGAACCCCCTCTCTCCTAAGACTGTGGTCCAACAGACACTGGAGCCTCTGTTGGGGTTGCCAGGGTGGAATGTTGGGGTAGAAAACAAGAGAAGCTTAATGCTCCCTCTTTTTAGAGACATACATACCCACCCTCCGTGACTCTCAAGGCAGGCGCGAGGGCTGCTCCTCCCCGCTTTGCACAAACCTCCAGCACAGCCATGGCCATACTTTCTGCTGGCTAATTGCACACCCTGTTCCTCATGTCTTACTTCTATATCCCTAGGGCCCACTATGGGACACTGGCTGGCACACCCCGGAGAACAGATAGAAGACGCATGAGTACACGAACGGATAGATGAATGATACACAGTCTGCGATCTGTGAATAGATGTCAGTCACTCTTTCCTTTCTCTATAAAAACCAACTGGGGAGTTAATTCCAAGAAGCAAATGTGGGAAGGTATAAAGGTCCATTCAGCGTCCTGGGAGTTCCAAGGATATGCTTTGCATGCTAAATATTTATTCCAAAGATTCTGAACCAAGACTGCCATCCAAATGCAGAATGTCCAGCTTATTATTTCTGAATACTAGCATTCAATGTGCTGATTAATTATATGTTGTATCGTCTTTTATCCAATATATAGAATTATATATTGTTTTATCCAATAAATGTCTTGGGTGCCATTTGCATACCAGGACCTGTGCTAAGCACCAGAACTATAGAGAAGGAACCGGCACGTGGCCTGCCCTTGGGGAGCACACACTCTCAAGGGGGTGCCCAACAGGTAGTCAGACAAAGCACAGCACATGGATGACAACATTCAAGGGTGTGTTGAGTTCTTTTTCCAAGCCATGATGAGAATCAATTTTTCCACCTATGACCCACCCTCACCTTGGAGGACCATTGAGATGATAAAAGTTAACAGCTGGGGAATGGCTGCTAAAAGATATGGAGCTTCTTCTTGGCATGAAAATGTTCAAGAATTGGGTAGCAGTGATGGCAGTACCACCTTGTGAGTGCACTAAAACTCACTGAACTTTACAATCCTTTAAGGAGTGGATTTTGTGGTATATGAATTATTATCTCATTTTTAAAAAGTTAACAGCTACTTTCAGCCAATTGGAAATAGTTAGCAAATTCTGGAGCATGATCCCAGTAGAGACCTGAGTCCCTCTTACCTGTTCTCCTTTTAGTCCTGGAAATCCAGGCACGCCAGTGTCACCCTTTGGTCCTCGAGGGCCCTGGAAGGGATCATCAGAGGAGATTCTGTTGGTTGTTATAATTAAAATGCTTTAACCAAATGGAAGTATTTTTTTCAAAAAGTAGAATAGGGGGTGCCATTCCCCGGGGAGGAGGAAGTCACCATTAGCCATGATATTTTCTTAATTTTAAGTGGTGCAGAAGTTATGGTCTAGGGTAAAGAAGACAACACTGAGCATGAGTAGGCCTGGAGGCCCTGCTGCTGAATGGTGGCTTCCCCTGACGGGCACTCCTGAAACAGCCTGGTCCTGCTACCTCTGCTGGCTCTACGGCTTCTTCCAGGCCATCCTGCAGCCAGCCTCTACGCACTGTTCACCTTCCATGACTCCCGCTTCTTCTCTGGCTCCCTACCACTCATGGGACAGGATCCAAACATCCCAGCCTGACCCCCAAACCCAGCCCACCAGCCTCAGCACGTCATCTCCCGCTCCCTGTCACACCAGGGTGAGTCTTTCCCCTGCCCCTCTTTGCACTGTCTGCCAACTCTGTGCTTCTGCCCGTGGCCTTCCCCCTGCAGGAAAGCACATCCGCCCCTCTGCAGAGCCAAGTTCTGCACACCAGCCAGAAGTGACCTCTTCTCAACTCCAACAGACACTGAATACCTGTGACAATGACTCATAGCCAGACGTCTGTCCCCTAAAAAACGTTAAGCACTTTACTGCCATGTAGATTTTCACAAGTCCCTGTTCTGTCTGCTGGTTTAAAGGGTGAGTTACCCATTAGAGCAGTGGCTTCCAAAAATTCGTTATCATTATTTTTTAACAATGAAGCTCTTTTCATTCCTTTTCTTTTTTCAAATAAAGACTTCAATGAAAAACCTACTATACAAAGTATGTCAAATGGGGCTTTTCTATGGGAGGTCAGGGGTCTGGAACCTGCCTATGTGGCCCCCTCTTTGCTCTCTAAAGTGGCCTGGGAGCCTCCCTCAGCAACACAGAACTACTTATCTAGAGGAAGACGCGTTCTGGAACACACCACCAGTTTGAAGCAGCCAAGCCAGGGCTGGAGCTCAGAGGCCTGAGCTCCTTTTAAAAAATGTAAAAAAGTTCAGAAAAGTAGAAAAAGAAATCATTTATAATTCCACCATCAAGAATAAATTGATGTTGCAGTTTTGATAAGTTTCCTTCGTTTATCTGGAGACAGTGCATATGCCTGTTGCATTAGGACCTTTCAGAGCTATAGTGTCTTGGAGAAATCACCCTGGAGCCTTGGGCTTCAGCACAGGCTCAAAGTTTTAGACAGAACTGATCACTTTCTACCTAGAAATGCATATTCACGTCCCGTGATAGAAGCCCCAGCAGTGTGCACACGGACTATTAGATATTGGACTCCTAGACTGGGATTCCCCTCCGCCATCCTCCATCGCTACTGTCTTCTCTCTGTAGGAAACTGATCTGCTGGGACTGTATCAGCTGTATCTATTGAAATGCTTGACTCATCCACTTGCATTCATAGAAAGCCAACCACTGGCTCTGGTTTCTGCCAGTACTGTGGGAGAGAGAGAGATAAGACCCAACCTCCCCAAGCTGTTCACGGTAAAATCATGGGGGAAAAAAAAAAGACAAGGACACAATTAACTGTTATTTGGGATCAGAAAAGAATCACAGCAGAGCTGAAAACAAAGCCTATGGAACTCAAAGGAGGAAACGATCACTCCAGGTGGAGGTCAACGAGGACAGGTTACATGAACAAGATGGCACCTGGGCTTGGTCATGCAGAAGTTAGAGAATGACATTGCAGGTGGAGGGAACAGAATGAGGCACGGAGGGAAGATGGCTACTGTGGTACTTACTGGAAATCCTGGCAGCCCGGGTATGCCCTCCGGACCCTGTGACATACCAAAAACCAAGCAGGTGGGTTAGGAATGGCATTTCCAGAGCCAAGAGGAACACTGCCTCAGAGCACCGCCCCCCACCCCCAGCACCTCCCAAAGGCCCAAGCACGTTCCTATGTGAGGAATCCCATGATCCATTTGTTGATGAGGATGCTGAGGCCTGGGAAGGGAAGGGACCTGCGCAGAGTCACACAGCTAGTGACAGAGCCAGAAACTGCGTCCTGGAGCCCACAGCTCCACTCCCACCACCTCCTCCATCCCCAAATGGGACTCTGCATGTGAAGCGGCTGGCTCCCCGCTCCATGAGTTCAGTCAGTGTCCTCAACACATGTTCTTGGAGCATAAGCCCCTAATTTCTGAGGAGTGGGCCCAAAGAGTGCACTGAGGTATTTGGGGGTGGAAGTGGGGGCATGTTGGTGACACTCAGCTCTTCTCCCTCAGAGAAGAATAAACAGAGAGTCTGTGGTTCACTCCCGTTGGCCAGGGCTCTCCCTGCTGGCTCAGGGACCCACATGCTCATCAAAGGTCTGTGAGTTTGGCAGAAAACATAAAGAGAGAGATGACTGGATAGCAACACGTTTCTTGGTACACTGCATACACAGTGGGGTGGGAAAGCATGAGGGTGTTGGCCGGGTCTTGAGTCCCTCAGGGAGGGAGGGGCCTCTGAGTAGGAAAATCTTGGCCCTTCATTCGGCATGTAAAGGACCCTTGAGGGGTGTGGGTTTGCTAAGGGGAGGACAGTGTTGGAGGGGAAGGTGGATTCTCGAGGTGGGGAGAGGGAGAAGGGTTGGGGCAGACAAGGCCAGGGACTCTTAGAAAACAGAGGCCAAACTTTTGATTTTAGCCTGTTATTTTGCTTTAGTAATGTCCCACCTAATACCCCAAACTTCCAGCAGTTTGGGAAATACCAAGACCCACTATGAGACGACTTTTGTTCAGTAGTTGGTTTGCCTTAGGAGTTGGTTGGTTACTGGGGTGTTTTGAGTGATTGTACAGAAATCAAAGAAAGGGAGCCTCAGTGGATGTAGTACAGAAGAGACAATGGGAGGACCCACCAACAGAGGTCACTCAGCAGGAGAGACTAGCCCTAGAACCTCCCAGATAGCTGCAGAAGCCTTGGGGAGAGCACCGAGTTCCCCCAGGACATGGATGGTGGGGGTTCAGGCCAACCTCATTAGGGACTGCAGGGGTGGGTGACCCCTGAAGACATCAGGGCTGCCTAGCTGTGGAAGTGTAAGCCCCAGTCTCCATCCAGGCTTGCACAGAGTGTGCCTTTGCAAAGGAGTCCATATCCACCAACCTCCGGTGAGCTGCCCCAAAGGCTGGTGAGGCATGATCAAAGGACAGGCTTAGACAGTCAGGGTGGTGTGTGGCAGGCAGAAGGGCTGGACCCTAAGGCTCCTGAGGCCAGAGCTCTCTCCTCTCTCCCCAGCTGTCACCAGCACATGCTGGGAGGTGCAATGGGGTGTTATGGCACAGAATGCAGGAAGAAGCTTCCTTCCTCTTAGGTCCTGCTGTGCCATAGACCAACTCTGTGGACTTTCAGAAATACTGTTGTCTCATTGAATGTTCCTGATCTCTAACGGGGAGGCTAGAAAGAATGAAGCAAGTCATGTTCTCTCCTTTGTGCGCTGGTTTTCCCATTAGCACTAGGTTAGGTCTCTCTAGGCTCTTCCCATTATGTGAAATGAGATCATGTTAATAAAAGCAAGCCAAAGCCATCACACGGACGTCAATTGGATTGTTACTTATGATTCTCTGATTTCTATGACGCACACTTCTGATACGGAAGACTGGAAGCTTCCACTGCATTGGACAAAACTCCCCAAACAATCAAATTGATGTGATAGCCACTTCTCAGAAATACAAAGTTCTTTTTCCATTCTGTTCTGATATATTCCAGCTCCACGATTCAAGAGCTAAAAGGCTAGGGCACCTGGGTGGCTCAATGGTTAAGCATCTGCCTTTGGCTCAGGGCATGATCCTGGGGTCCTGGGATTGAGTCCCACACCAGGCGCCCCACGGGGAGCCTGCTCCTCCCTCTGCCTATGTCTCTGCCTCTCTCTCTGTGTCTCTCATGAATAAATAAATAAAATCTTTTAAAAAAAAAAAAGAGCTAGGGATGCCTGGGGGGCTCAGCAGTTTAGTACCTGCCTTTGGCCCAGGGCATGATCCTGGAGTCCTGGGATCGAGTTCCCTGTCGGGCTCCCTGCATAGAACCTGCTTTTCCCTCTGCCTGTGTCTCTGCCTCTCTCTCTCTCTCTCTCTCTGTGTGTGTGTGTGTGTATCTATCATGAATAAATAAATAAAAAAATAATCATAAATAAATAAATATAAAAAAATAAATTTAAAAAAGAGCTAAAAGGCTTCCAAACCAACGCAACTTAGTCTTATCAGAGGGACCCCCACTCTAGGGCAGCTATGGATACACACCGGAGGCCCAATGAGCTCAGGGATGTCCGAGAGATTCATGAATCCATGGGTGATGTTGGTCAAAGCCTAAAAAGAGAGCAAACAGACGATGAGACAGCGGGTAGCGTATGTCCCACCCTGCTCCTGGCAGGGAGGCTTTCACTGAAGTCGCCCCCCCATGACAGAACACAGATGGACATGATAACACCCTAAACTCACTGCCGACACATCCATCCCTTCCCCACCTTTTATAAAACCGCCCTGAGCTGCTGTGGCACTTTCCTCTTTCAATTAACCTTAAAATTGCACAAAACATGAATGCCTTCTCTCTTTTTAAAATTTTAATACATGTAGATATTTTGTATATAACACAAATATATATATATATATATATCTCCACAGAAAACTTGTAGTGTTGGCTATGTGTGTGTGTATGTGTGCACGTGCACACGTGTGCAGGTGCCTATTTTACATAAATGGCATCAGGCTGTATGTATTATTTTTCAACTTGCTTTCTCCAACCATATAGCATGACCATCTTTCCACATGAAATTGGGGGTCCAGGCATTTTTAGTTTTAATGGATTGCTAAAGAGCTGTCTAAAGGGGCCATACAATTTACACTGTCACTAAAGCCTATGTTTCCACACCCTTACCCATGCTTGATATTTTTAATCACTTTTTTTTTTAAAGAAACTCGTCATCCTCTTTTTCCTAGTAATCTGGGATTTTTGTCTTTCTGTTATCTACCAGTATGATATCATTTGTCTCCAAAGGGGCACAGTTTTTCACTAATGTGATACCTTAATACGAAGGGGACCTTGCTGTGGTCCCAAGCCACATCCCAGCCTCCTCTACAAATTTCTATCACTCTCTACCCTCTTCATACCCATCAGCTCCCTGTGCCTTGGACACACACTTTTTCTATTCTGAGCTTTGACTCAGAGTGTTCCTGCCCCCCTGAATTCTGCAAATCCTGTTCTTAACACTCATCTGCTAAGATTCTTCTCAGCTCTCAAGTCTCTGCTCAAAGACAGTTCCTCCAAGAAGTCTTCCTGAATTTCCCATACCCCAAAACATCTTTATTCACTTGTTCCCCCATTATGTTCCTCTGCCTCTATGTTACAGCTCTGTGACAGCTAATCTCTTGACTGTAAATGCTGCCAACTGGGGGATGTTCTGGAAGCACTATGTGAGAACAGTGGTACTGGGGTAGGAACAGACATGTGGTGGAAGCTCCAAAGCCAGATGCCAGCTCTGTGCCCTCTGCATAACCACCAGCCTCAAAGGCCCTCAAGCTGTGTTCAATCTTCTCTCCCCTTTAGTAAAAGCAGCAAATGCATAGCCATGCTCCAACCTGGATGATACTCACACTAGACAGGACCTCGATGCGACCTGGTGGCCCCCTGGGTCCGGGGGGCCCCACAATGCTGGCTCCATCCATCCCTCTGTCACCCTAGATACAGCGGTGATAGTGAAAAAAATCATTTGTGGATAATGCTCCTAGAACCTGGCTGGAAATTTCCCCCACCCTTACTTCAGATCTGTGACCTCACCTTGGGTCCCTGGTCTCCTTTTTCTCCTTTGGGACCCTGGTAAAACAAATAAACATTGTTTGGTTTTCTTCTCTTCACTTTGCTTACTTCCTATCTTGCCTCCCCTAAGTGCCCATGTGGATTTTGCCCCCAGATAACAGGACCAAAGATGATGGGCAAACTCCCCTTCCAGAGTCAGAAAGGAGTCTTCCCAGCACAGGGAGAGTGGCTTCTTAACCCTGAATCTCAGAGCCCTCTGCACCTAGAGGATAGGAAAAGGTCTCATTTAACCACCAAGGGGACTCTACTGCTTGTCCCTACAGGCTGTTTCTCCTGGACCAGTGTGCTCAGCTCTGGGTCCCATTTGACAAAGATAATGAGATGGCGGGGGGGTGGGGGGTCGGTCCTCTTGAGAGTAGGAATCACTAAGGAAGATGGACAACACCTCCCTGGGGCTAGATGCAGTGGGAAGGGGCACCTTTCAGGAGCACAGGGTTCTGAAATGAGGCAAAGTGTGAGTACTGAACAGGGCAGCAGGTAGGAGGCAATGAGGTGGAGATGCTTGATGGTAAGGACTGGAGAGAGAGAGAGAGAGAGAGAGAGAGAGAGAGGACTTTCAAGTTTTCCTCTATGATGTTCTGTGCTGCTCCTCTAAGAAAAAAGCTATAAAGAGCACTTGGCCTCCCCACAGCACTGCCGGAAGCTGGAGGCACAGAGAGGGTGAATTAATGAAAACAGCAGGGCCAGGATAGCACCCCCATAGCTGCCGCACTCCAGCATGACAACGTGACAGTCCTCAAAATGAAGGCTTCAAAACAACTTACACTTGGAGCCACTGGTCCGGAGATTCTCGGTTCATGCAATAGCCTGATGCTTCCGGACCCTTCAGTATCCTGGGGAAGGAAGAATGAAAATTTCCTCTCCAATTCCTGAGCATCTACTTGTGCCAGGTGTAGAGCTGGGCCCCAGGGCTGGGCTCCGTGGGGGAGTCGCCACAGCCTCTGCCCTTTGTACCAGCGTTGCAGCTGGCTTTTCCAACAGTCCCCAGGGCACGTTGTTCTTTAACCACACAGAGAGGGGAATATACCTCAAACCCAAGTCCCATTGTACATCCAGGGCCTGGGGGTCCTGGGGGTCCAGGAGGCCCTGGAGGTCCCATGATCCCGGGACTTCCGACTTGTCCATTTTTCCCTGGAGGTCCTGGTAAGCCTCTGTTGCCTGGGTCACCCTGTAAGGAAGAGGACAGGCTTACCGGGTGGCCCTGGGTTTGCTCATGAAAGGAATAACATACGTGCCTGAGTCAGAAAATCATTCTTTGGACTTAATGAGATTGATGGGGTCTCTGATGGGCACTGCTTTGAGGTACAGAAACTGCTACCTGGCTAACTGACACTTCACTTGGAGATGAGCTGATGCGCTCTGTGCACGCCCATGTGGGGAGGACATGAGAGAGGAGTAAACACAACAGGCTGCTCACCCACCCACCCACCCCGCCCATGCCAGCCACTTTGCTTTCTCTCAGCACTTGCTGAGATGTGTTTCTCTCTGCTCCCCAACACTCATGTGTTTGGCATTCCAGCCCAACAGTCCAATTATAGTAAAGCCAGAGAAAGGGCAAAAATGAGAATCAAGCTTTTTGTTCTTTTTCTTTTACCTTTTCACCAACGGAGCCATTAGGCCCTCTTGCTCCCTGGGAAAGAAAACACACACACACAAACAAAAAACAAGAGAAAGGGTCAATTAATATACATCTCACTCGGTATAGTCAAAAGAAAAGAAAATGCAGAATTACTGACTCTTAAGTAGCAGGATATTAAAATGGGCTGATGTCTCCAAGCCAAGTGCATTATCGGAGTTGTCATTTTGCTAGGCAAGTTATGCCGAAAGCTTGAGAAATCCGTGTTTCAACTCTTAGCTCATTATCTACCTCAAGAGTGAAAAGGAGTAGTTGAAGATTAACCAGGGAGAGATCATAGAGGAAGAATTCCCTTGGAGAATTGTCCGTGCACTGGCTGGTCCGTTACCCCACCCTCCCACGATGCAAGTAGAGGGATACGTCTCCTACTCCAAGCTAATAAACGGACTTCAAGAACTTGATATGTATTCCCTAGACTTTTAGAGATCTGTGGAACGATGGCTGACTTTCTTCTAGATATACCTAAATACCAATATCTGGCTGGAGTGGCCCCAGGATGAAGTTGGGGGGTGTTGCTCTAAAGTAGGTTGCAAAAAAAAAAAAAAGGAGGTTGCATGTCCATCCTCAATGGGAGCCACAGGACAGGTTTAGATCTGGGAGGTGGTTAGATGTGGATCCCATGGAACTGACCCAGCTGTGAGCTCTGAACAGAAGGGAGGACCAATGGGGGCTGGCGGCCAGGAGTGGTCAACTACAAGAGACATGGCCCTACATGTCAGGGGACTGTGGACGCGAGTCCCAATGAGAGAATCTCTGAGGATTCACGAAAGGAGGAGTCAGGAAAAGGTCCTGACACTGATGGTGATGGACCCACCATCTATGGCTGTGCTCTTCTCCTCAGTCCCCTGTCTCCCTGGGCTGGGTCGCTCTTCTATATCAAATCCATAGAAAGGACAGAGCAGATAGTTCCAAAATAACATGCTCAAAAGTCAGATGGCAAATGACACTGAGCTCGAAAACAGCCAGGAACGCCAAGGGGAAAAGACAGGAAGCCGAAGCCTGAGGCTCAGTGGTGGAGAGAAGGCACAGGGGAAGACGATCCTGCAAAGTGGTGACGGAAGCCAGGAGCAGGGTGAGGCTCTGATGGGCAGATAGGCTGAAATTCCGGAGCAGGAAGGCCAGCGAGCCCTGCCATTCCCCCTCATCTCCCCAGTCCCCACACCTACAAGAACAATAAGCTTATTTGCTGGAGTCTGGGTATAGGGCAGAGTCCTGAGTAGCTAGGGAAGCCCATGGGGGCCGGGGCACCCCAAACTCCTAAGACCAGCTGCTGAGATGCCCTGCCTGATGTCAACACTCCCCCCACCCCCCCATCCTCTCCCTGAAACCTGCAAGTCTCAGAAGTAGCTGCTGCCAAGCTCCCCACAATCTGTCCAGACAGAGGCAGAACACAGCCCAAAGGGAGGTTCCAATCTCAAAAAGCAAACACACAAGCAAGAAACACCACACATCCGAGGGAAGGCAACGCAGGGAAAGAGGCGGCAGTGCCAGCAGTGGGATGTACGCCCGGGGAAGGAGCGTGAAGAACACGAGCCAATCGAGACTTGACGGGTACGCGATACGGAATCTCAGGGAGAAGAGGGAGAGTATTACAGCCACGAAACACGACAAACCATCACGAAATAAGCACAGAGGTTATAGAAAAGAACCAAGCAGAGATCTTAGAAATAAAAATACAGAACTGCGGAAAGGAAGTACTCGATAAGAGCTGAATCAGAGGGATGGACCTGAGGAGAGAATCACAGAATCAGGTTGCAGCCCTCCCCACGCCCCTCCCCTGGACATTAGGGGGTGACAGGAGGGGAAGGGAAAGGGGGACTGGGAGAAGCGGTGGTGCCTGGGTTCGGAGGCTTCTCTGCCTACCAGCCTGAGCAGAGAGAAACTACATGTGACCTTTCACTATGGGCAGAAACAAAAAGAATCAGGTTCCAGTTCCGTCGCTTCTAATCTGGAGGCTATGGTTACTGCACCTGCTCTTCTGGGGTGTGACCAGCCATGCCAGCCTCTGCGGCCTGTCGCAATCTGTCCCCGCGGGAAGTGCCACCCTTATGTGCCTTTCCAGTAATGAGTCGCATAGAAGTCAGGGATATTGTGAACCAGAAGTTAAATTAACCCCCTCTCTTGACTTCTGGACCCTAATCTCTGAAAACCTTATTGTTGTGTTGCTAGCTGAGTGTGTTAAAGAAAATTATGGGGGAATCCCTGGGTGGCTTAGCGGTTTGGCTCCTGCCTTCAGCCCAGGGCGTGCTCCTGGAGTCCTGGGATCGAGTCCTGCATGGGCTCCCTGCAGGGAGCCTGCTTCTCCCTCTGCCTGTGTCTCTGCCTCTCTCTCTCTCTCTGTCTCTCATGAATAAATAAATTAAAATTTTAAAAAAAGAAAATTATGTTCAGAAAGTGATAAACGGTCTTTTCCAAAGTTACCTTCCCAGCTCTTCAAATCAAGAGTACATCTTGTAGTGGTTTCAAAGGGAGTTCTAGAAGATATTTTGAACCTTGAGTTATTGGTCTCAGACATAGGTGATTTTTATCCTGCTTGTACATGCAGAAAGGTAGTATTTGGGCCCGTCCCACTGGCTTACAGATTTGGTGGCCACCATTTTGGATTCTGAGTGGATCAGCTGGGACATGGACGAGCTTGCTTATTGGAATTTACATGAACAGATGCAGTGAAAACTGGGGACTCCAATTACAAGAGTCAGCGAAGACTCCCTGCTCCCAAAATGATGACAGTAGAGCTATAGACTTCATTGCTCAGTGTGAGACCTTGGAATTCCAACCAGCCAAGCTGTGGGTTTGGCTGTGGCAGTGAAGTATGGAGAGGCCAGTTCCACAACGGAAATGCTGCAAAAGACCGAGGCGCAGGAATGCTACAAAATCATGCTTCAGAATTCATTAGAAATTTCCACTCATTACGGTAATGGGATTTGCTAAGGACATTATGAGACTTCAACATACAGGAACATCAAAAAACCTAATAACTATATCAATTTTTTTTTCTTGTGGTGGTATCTGAGACCTTGGGCACGTCTGTCAGTGGTGGTCGTGCAGTTTGTTATACTGATAACTTGCAACTTGTTAGTTACAATTGACCATGGTCTGTTTGGTTTTACGGAGACCCATAATCCTGATTTTGTACCAAACACATCTGATGGTTAAAGAAGATCTGAAGTAGGAAATCGGGCCAATATTGGAATGTTTAACCGAAACAAGCTGTTACCAGCTCCAAACCACGACTGGAACCTTGTTAAGCGTGGCTCCCCCAGCAGAGTGTCAGATTTAGAGAACTGCTCCAAGAACAACTGCGTTTCAGTAGAAAAAGGGAAGCTGATGATGATTTATTTGCATTTCTCCTCATCTCATGGGCAAGACAAAATCTGCTATGCGAGGTCCAGCAATGACATTTTGGCAGCTCAGTGAGATCACTCAAAGCCTGTTAACTGGGAGTTCAATGCTCCTCAGCAATTCTGGGCACGGAAGAAAACTTCAAAACACAAACTCTTTCCTGCCTGGGTGTTCCAGCACCTTTTGACACTGAAGAATACACTGAGTGACTCAGATTGTAAAAGAAAGCGAAAGAGTGATGATCGTAAATGCTACACATGTGAAGATGTGGATGGCACCGTGTGCTGCGCAAAAAGAAGAAAGGAATTTTACAGAGATTCATCTCCAGCGAGTCCTTTCAGCATCCTTTCCAGAAGCACGTGGTAGCTGAGAAAGCAGGCTACTCCTCTCCTGTTCCTTCATGGGCCAAAGACCTCAGAGGGGCCGCTCATGTTAATTTGGGGAAATAAATTAAGGAGTATGCCTATCATCGAACACAACATAAAATAATCTGTTTCATAAATTCTTAATGACCATTCACATTATGATGACAACCTCACATTTGAAAATAATGACTATATATGATAATATTCTTCTTCTTGCCAAATAAGCTGGACCTTATTCTTTGGGAGAAAAGTCCCCTTTAGATAACTGTCCAGAGTGGTCTCTACTCCCTGCAAGTGAGAAGAGAGGCTGCTTTCTGCGCAGCCTGAAGAACTCCTCCTACAAGTGTCCACGCAACTGTGGAAGGCACCGCCTGGCAGGAAATGAGTCCCTTGTCACCGGAGGTGTGCAAACTGAAGAACAGTATCGCGGAGGGGAGTCAAGGATCAAATGTATCATCGGATCTCATGTTGTGTTACACCCTGGAGACTGCTCATTTTCTTTAGCACGTTTCTGTTATTTTATATCCATACCACAGCTCCTTGGTTTAGTTTTGGCTTTTAAGAAATTTTTTTTAAGGTAAATGTCATCTGCAAGGTTTCCTTTGAGTTTTCTAGATGCAAATTTCCAAGTCCTTCTACCGTCTCCTTTTACTTGGCCAGAAAGCATCGTATGAACATCATGCAACAAATTAGTACTAGCAAATTTGGGAGAGAAAAATGTAATTTATCTCCAACTATTATCCTGGTGAGCCTGCTGCCCTGTGCAAGGCTGCTCCCCTGAGCTGCTGCAGAGTGCACCCGCCCAGTGTCAGCATGCGGATGTGGGCATGAGTATTTTTAAATACCAGAGGAGCATGGAAGGGGTGTGTGGGGGCGGGTAGAGGAGAGCTGGTAAGAAGAACAGGGAAGAACAGTGTAGGTCTGTGATGTTTCCTGCAAAATCGAATTTCTTATGAAATACTCGGTACATGTAAAATGAGGTCCATAAAGCTTGACAACTAGTTTCTTTCTTCCTTTTCTGAGAAATGAGCTTTCCACGAAAATCAAGTTACTATTTCAATTAAAATAAACACACTTGAGAGCTGACGGAAACTGGAAATTCAGTTCAGGGAAGATGGTGGCGTCAAGGGAGTTCACATTTTCCACGACTTCATGCAGTGGAGTACACAGAAGGCCTTGCTCCTTATCTCAGCCAGGACAGATCATCCTCGCTCTGAACCCCAGTAAAACTCATGACTGCATCATTGCAAGGAGGTTTACCTTATCTTTATTGCTCTCCTTTGAGGGATGTGGCTTATCTCATCAAAGAGGCAGGAACCCCGTCCCCACGCACCGCAGACAGAAGACAGGCTTACAGAGAATGAAGAGTGAAGGGAACAGCAGATTTGCTGATCAAACTCTAATGGAGGCCTGAACCGGATCCTAAGGACGCACAGACAGCGTGAGTGCTATTTGTCAGGGTAGGGGTCGATCGGGGGAGCTCACCGGTAAGCTATCACCAGCTGAGGGGTCCCAGCAGAACAAATACTGTGCTAACAAGAAGTACAGGAAGGAGGGCTGCTTTCTGCTCATAGGGAGTCTGAAAGGGCTTCTCAGAGGATATATCTGAACTGGCCCTTGGAGGACAAGGAAGGGGAAAGTCACCCAAGATGGAGAGAAAGCATGTGCAAAGGCCAGGGGACCATCCAGGAGAGTATGCCCACAGCACTGCAGCAGGGCTGCTGGCTGATCCAGAGGCTACATGAAGGAGACGGGAGGAGACAGAGCTGGGATGGAAGGTCTGGGCGCCGTCAGTGTTTCGTCCTACAGGCAGCAGCGAGGCTTGATACCTTCTCAGCAAAGACCAGAGAAAGCTTGCTACAGGAGGGTGGACGGGTGGGGCAGGTGGGTGGAAGCTGGATTGTGGGTGCGGAGAACGCGACACTGGCAAGATGCCTGAAGCCACCGTGTGGGTGAGGAGAGATGAACATCAGATCAGGGAGGAAAGAGGCAAGAGATGTGGATGGCAGGTGCGCCAGTCCTGGCAACAGGTGTACCAGTCCTGGTACAGCAGGAAAGGGAGAGGAAGGAGGGCTCAGAGAAGATACTGCCTTTGAGTCCTCATGACTGGCTAGGTGGCAGCCCCATTCACGGAAGCTGGAGATGCTGAGCTCAGGTTTGGGCATCAAGAGCCCCAGGACGGGGACATCCAGCAGCGAGGGGATTAGGACCCCTCCTAATTAGATTAGAAAGGGTCATTCACCTAAGAGGCAAGGAGGTCTAGAGGTCTCAGGCCTAGAGGTCAGAGAGAGGCAGCGTGGGTCTGGCGGCCCCCATGTGCTTGGACCCCTCCCACCCTGTCCGTACCTTCTCTCCCTTCATCCCAGGAAGGCCGGAGGCTCCATCAGGTCCAGGCTGTCCCTCGGGGCCCTGAGAATATCAGTGACAATCAGCCCACAACATCTCTGATAAGAATCACTATGAACCCTTCCTGGAGAAGGAGGCCATGGCTGGGAGGACCAATCAGGTGAGGTCAATGGGTCCAGGAGCCTTGTGTCAGTCTAGGGTGGAAATGCTGGTCCCTGGCCCCAGCATGGCCACTGCTGACCATGCACCTGTGGATAAGTGTCCCTCACTCTCTGGGTGGCATCTTCCTCTCTGGGTTTGGGGGGAGCTGGGGGCAGGGTCGGCCTAGATGGTCTCTGAGGACCTCCTGCCCCCGGCCCAGCACTTTGATGTCCTATGATTCCAAGATTCCACATGAGTCTGTATCTCCTATCCTAAGACAAAGCAGCAAAGCAGTGTGTAGGATGGTATGTTTCTTGGCTTCTGCTTCTTATGAGTCTCAGCAATGACTCAGCTGAGGATTTTTGTTTACAAACATTAGCTAGCTGCTCACTCTCTGTTATGAGCCTTCGTGCTGGAGTCTGGGGTCTAGAGGAAGCCTCATGGCCAAGGAGAGGGAGAGATGACCCCAGCAGCTCACCGGGGGCCCAGGTTCACCAGCAGCTCCATCCTCTCCAGGCGATCCAGGGGGTCCCATGAAAACATCAGTTCCTGGTTTTCCTGGAATCCCAGGTGAGCCAGGAGGGCCCGGGGGGCCCGGGGGACCCTTAAAAAAAAAACAGATACTCTGTTAAGAAACAGCAGGGGAGGGGATAAAATATACTAAGCATATATGTTCCCTTCATTCTCTCTGTTCCTCACAATAATACTGCAAGTAGAGACTGGTGTTCCCACTTAGCCGATGGGGGAAACTGAGGCTCAGTGAGACAATGTGACTTGGTCTGGGCTTACACACTCACAGCTAATTATTAGAAAAGCTGGGACTTGAACCCAGGTCTTTATGAGCCTATCATATCATGTTTTCTACCTAGATATAGCTATAGAATAAAAATCCACAATCAGTTAGAATTTTCAGAGGTGTCCTGGCTAATTTAGTTTTCTGATTACCTGACAGAGCAGTCAAAAACTGCCTGTTGGTAACTCTTATTAAAATTCTTCCTAAAAAAAATAAAAATAAAAATAAAATTCTTCCTGTAGGGGCACCTGGGTGGCTCAGCGGTTGAGCATCTGCCTTTGGCTCAAGGCATGACCCCAGGGCCCTGGGATCCAGTCCCGCACTGGGCTCCCTGCATGGAGCCTGCTTCTCCCTCTCCCTGTGTCTCTGCTCTCTCTGTGTCTCTCGTGAATAAATAAAATCTTAAAAAAAAAAAAAAAAAACGTCCTGCAGTGTACTAGTCTCTTTAGCCTCCAGCTGGGTTGGTGGATCCTACCAGTCAGAAAGATCCATGCGACTCCCATTTCACTTATCCAGTTAAGTCCAGAATCCTTCCTGTCCTAGCTTGAGGAGGGGACAGAGGGGCAACTGGGTGGAGTCTTCTAGGTGAAGATTCAGCACAGGGGCTCAGGGAAAGCGCTGAAGGCAAGGTTGGGGGCCCCAGCACAAAGCCACCAGCTGGAGTTGGAGAAGGGAGGTCATCGCCAGGAACCAGAAACTAGTGGGGGCCCTGCCTTGGGCAGGAGGCTGAGGGAGCAAGAGCAAAGGGGAAGAAGGAGCAGTTAAAGAGGTAGTAGGGGTTGCCTCGGGGTAAGGAGGATTTCAAGAAGGATCTGGAAGCCAAAGTGTGAAATACTACCCAGAGAAGAGGCCAGTAATTCTCTATAATGGGTAGAGGGGATGGAGGCAAAGCCAATAAGAGGTGAGGGTTATGGGGATACGTGACCACGGAACAGCGCTGGATGCCAGGTAAAGGGAGCAAGCGGCGAAGCAGAGGTCCCGAATATAAACTATATACAAGGTTCATATTCATTTAAAACAAAACAAAACTGATCAAAGTGGAAAATGCCAAACATAGACACATGTGGAGGGGAAATCCTCCGGATTTCTGAGAAGGCAGTCCCAGATCCCAGGATGTCCCATTCTCACACTTACCCTTAACAGCTCTTCACTGCGTACCAAGTCCCCAGAGCCAAACCCAATTTCGGAGCCCCAGCCCAGGCCGGAGCCCTCGGCCTCAGTTTCTACCTGGAGAAAGAAGAAATTCCCACCGCTTGGTTTCACCTGCCACTCCCTAAGGACAGCTAGGTCACCAAAAGTCTTCCCTTGTAGCCCTATCACTGCTGCTGCCACTGCCCTTCTGGTCTCTTCTCCCACTCTCCTCCCCATCACCTCCCTTTGCACAGCCAACAGCCAGCCAATCCTCAAACATACGGTGCTCTTTCACATCTTCTCAGCCTCCCTTCTTGCCTTTCAAACTGTTACTCATCCTTCAAGGCCTAGTTCCATGGTCACCACCTCCATGAAGCCCTCCCATCCCATTTCCAGGTGGAGGTGGAATTCATCTCTCCCTACTCTGTGTTCCTCACCAATCTCTGCTGAGGTCTGGATTTGGGGGTAGGACCACCTGACTTGAAGCTCAGTTGTGTGTATGTCTGTGGGCCCCTCTTGGCTAGGTCCCCTCCAGGGTTGGTCCCCTCCAAGGTTGGCCTATCCTGAACTGGGCATTCAGATACCTCTGAACGCCCAGTATCTTAGCACAAGATCTGGTACCAAGAAGGCACTCAGTGCATACTTGTTGAATGCCATCAAATTCCTCCAAAGGACAAAAGGGAATCTCTTAAAAATACCTTTCTAGTACTTAATTCCTGAACATAAGAACCAGGTAAGGCTCAGTTCAGTCATGGAACATGCATGGAGCATACGCTCAGAGGCCCCAAGGAGGGGCTGGGCTGGAGGTTAGGTCTGGATTGAAAAGGGTGGCGGTGGTGTGTGCGTGCGAGTGGGAGAGGGAAGGTGGGGATGGGGCGCTGCTGCCACTGTCTGAGGCACCAGCTAGCCTCAGGGCTTGGAGACAAACTGGATGGGGACGTGGGAGGCAGAGGGCCACTGGAAGATGTTTCCTGATTTGCCTTGGTATCCAGGAAGATGAGGTGCTGCTCCCAGAGACAGACCATCCTGAAGGAGGAACATGGTGGGGCACGGTGACAAGTCGTTCAGGATGTGGTGGAGAGACATGTGGGCCATTCAGGGCCCAGGATATAAATAGGATATAAACAGACTCTGCCCCTGAGTTCCCTGAGGGTTCTGACAGAGGTAAAGGCCCTGACATCTCACTGGAAGGCACCCTGAATCTGAGCCTGTGCCTATTTCTCAGCAGCCCCAACCCCTGAACACTGTGTGTGTGCTGAGCCCAGATGGGGGGTCTCACCGTGGGTCCAGTAGGCCTGGCAGGTTCAGGGTGGCCAAAAAGCCCCTCCCCAGCTTCACCCTAAAGAGGACAGAATGGTCAGCAGAGTGCTGGGCACCCCTCCTCCGCCACTGCCCCCCTTTGTAGAAACTGATCATCTTTAAGAGGAGGCTTACACAGGGGTAAAGAAGGCTTTGTTCCTCATGAGCCAGCCCAAGGGGCACTTGTCACCCTGGGCTCAGGAGCCCTTTCTTTCTGCATCTCACACATAGGGCGGATGGGTATGATGGAGGGAAGGATGCCATAGGGATCCTCCCCATTCTGTCAGCTAGGGTCCCCCCACCACCCCAGTCCAGGTCCTGCCAGAGCAGGGTAACCAGGCCCAATATGCCACCCTCTGAGGCAGGTTCTGGCTGCCCCGCTCCTCCCACCAGCCCTGTACCCTGTCCAGAGCCTTTATTGCTCATAGGCCTGCCTCCCTGGGACCGTGGGCTCCTGGAGGGCAGGCATAGTGCCCAAATCACCTCTAGGCCCCAGCGCCTGGCCTTTGGTGGGTGTTTAGGAAATGTTTTCAGAGTGACAGGAACACCCACTTGGAGAGGAGAAGCAAAAAGGAAAAATAAAGCCCGTTTTATAAACAAATAAATATAGACAGTTAATGCCACACAATGTACTCAAGTTTAGAACCAATTTTCATCGTGCGTTATATTCCTACACCATTAAATACTCCTGGTAAAGGGAGGAAATTGAAGAAGTCATCAAAAACCTCCCAAGACACAAGAGTCCAGGGCCAGATGGCTTCCCAGGGGAATTCTATCAAACGTTTAAAGAAGAAATCATACCTATTCTACTAAAGCTGTTTGGAAAGATAGAAAGAGATGGAGTACTTCCAAATTCGTTCTATGAGGCCAGCATCACCTTAATTCCAAAACCAGACAAAGACCCCACCAAAAAGGAGAATTACAGACCAATATCCCTAATGAACATGGATGCAAAAATTCTCAACAAGATACTAGCCAATAGGATCCAACAACACATTAAGAAAATTATTCACCATGACCAAGTAGGATTTATCCCCGGGACACAAGGCTGGTTCAACACTCGTAAAACAATCACTGTGATTCATCATATCAGCAAGAGAAAAACCAAGAACCATATGATCCTCTCATTAGATGCAGAGAAAGCATTTGACAAAATACAGCATCCATTCCTGATCAAAGCTCTTCAGAGTGTAGGGATAGAGGGAACTTTCCTCGACATCTTAAAAGCCATCTACAAAAAGTCCACAGCAAGTATCATTCTCAATGGGGAAGCACTGGGAGCCTTTCCCCTAAGATCAGGAACAAGACAGGGATGTCCACTCTCACCACTGCTATTCAACATAGTACTGGAAGTCCTAGCCTCAGCAGACAACAAAAAGACATTAAAGGCATTCAAATTGGCAAAGAGGAAGTCAAACTCTCCCTCTTCGCCGATGACATGATGCTCTACATAGAAAACCCAAAAGCCTCCACCCCAAGATTGCTAGAACTCATACAGCAATTTGGTAGCGTGGCAGGATACAAAATCAATGCCCAGAAGTCAGTGGCATTTCTATACACTAACAATGAGGCTGAAGAAAGAGAAATTAAGGAGTCAATCCCATTTACAATTGCACCCAAAAGCATAAGATACCTAGGAATAAACCTAACCAAAGAGGTAAAGGATCTATACCCTAAAAACTATAGAACACTTCTGAAAGAAATTGAGGAAGACACAAAGAGGTGGAAAAATATTCCATGTTCATGGATTGGCAGAATTAATATTGTGGAAATGTCAATGTTACCCAGGGCAATTTACACGTTTCATGCAATCCCTATCAAAATACCATGGACTTTCTTCAGAGAGTTAGAACAAATTATTTTAAGATTTGTGTGGAATCAGAAAAGACCCCGAATAGCCAGAGGAATTTTAAAAAAGAAAACCATATCTGGGGGCATCACAATGCCAGATTTCAGGTTGTACTACAAAGCTGTGGTCATCAAGACAGTGTGGTACTGGCACAAAAACAGACATATAGATCAATGGAACAGAATAGAGAACCCAGAAGTGGACCCTGAACTTTATGGTCAACTAATATTCGATAAAGGAGGAAAGACGATCCACTGGAAGAAAGACAGTCTCTTCAATAAATGGTGCTGGGAAAATTGGACATCCACATGCAGAAGAATGAAACTAGACCACTCTCTTGCACCATACACAAAGATAAACTCAAAATGGATGAAAGATCTCAATGTGAGACAAGATTCCATCAAAATCCTAGAAGAGAACACAGGCAACACCCTTTTTGAACTTGGCCACAGTAACTTCTTGCAAGATACATCCACGAAAGCAAAAGAAACAAAAGCAAAAATGAACTATTGGGACTTCATCAAGATAAGAAGCTTTTGCACAGCAAAGGATACAGTCAACAAAACTCAAAGACAACCTACAGAATGGGAGAAGATATTTGCAAGTGACCCATCAGATAAAGGGCTAGTTTCCAAGATCTATAAAGAACTTCTTAAACTCAACACCAAAGAAACAAACAATCCAATCATGAAATGGGCAAAAGACATGAAGAGAAATCTCACAGAGGAAGACATAGACATGGCCAACATGCACATGAGAAAATGCTCCGCATCACTTGCCATCAGGGAAATACAAATCAAAACCACAATGAGATACCACCTCACACCAGTGAGAATGGGGAAAATTAACAAGACAGGAAACCACAAATGTTGGAGAGGATGCGGAGAAAAGGGAACCCTCTTACACTGTTGGTGGGAATGTGAACTGGTGCAGCCACTCTGGAAAACTGTGTGGAGGTTCCTCAAAGAATTAAAAATAGACCTACCCTATGACCCAGCAATTGCACTGTTAGGGATTTACCCTAAAGATTCAGATGCAATGAAACGCCGGGACACCTGCACCCCGATGTTTCTAGCAGCAATGTCCACAATAGTCAAACTGTGGAAGGAGCCTCGGTGTCCATCAAAAGATGAATGGATAAAGAAGATGTGGTCTATGTACACAATGGAATATTACTCAGCCATTAGAAACGACAAATACCCACCATTTGCTTCAACGTGGATGGAACTGGAGGGTATGATGGTGAGTGAAGTAAGTCAATCGGAGAAGGACAAACAGTGTATGTTCTCATTCATTTGGGGAATATGAATAATAGTGAAAGGGAATATAAGGGAAGGGAGAAGAAATGTGTGGGAAATATCAGAAAGGGAGACAGAACATAAAGACTCCTAACTCTGGGAAATGAACTAGGGGTGGTGGAGGGGGAGGAGGGTGGGGGGTGGGGGTGAATGGGTGACGGGCACTGAGGGGGACACTTGACGGGATGAGCACTGGGTGTTATTCTGTATGTTGGTAAATTGAACACCAATAAAAATTAATTTATTAAAAAAATAAAAATAAATACTGGTAAGTATAATTTTAATAGCTGCATAATATTCCATCATTTGAATAGCCTTTATCCAATTGACCCCCTTTTTTGTCTAGTTAAACTGTGTCCAATTTTTTCTATTATGGGTAATATGGAGATTAGCAAATTTATATACAACAACGCCTTTTTACATAGCAGGATTAACCCTTTAGGATTAATTCCCAGAACAAAAGTTTCCACTTTAACACTAAGTAGTTTCATGGTTGTTAAAACGTGGTTGCAAAACCCTTCCCAGAAGTAGTAAACCCATCAACACTGCCACCAACATGACAGGTCTCACCAGGCCTTCAGCACCAACTTCTCAAAGTGGAAAATACAAAGGATCAAAGGACAACTGACTCAGTTCCTCCAAGAAATCAATGACAAAAAGAAAAAGGAAGCTAAGAGACAATCATAGACCCCAAGAGACTTAAGAAACATCAGCCCAAACATCATGTATAGAACGTGTCTAGATCCAGATTCAAAGTAATTGTAATAAGGCATTTTTTAAGCAACTAGGGTGTCAGATATTATGAAAGAACCATTGTTAGATGGATAACAACATTGATATTGATAGTAATGACCACAGACGGGTGGCATTGTGGCCAAGGAGGAAAAAAGTTCCACATCAACCTATTCACAATATGCATTAAAGTATTTATCAGTTAAATAATGCAACATTTGGAATTTGTTTTAAAATACTCCAGCCTTCACCTCCAGCCTTCATCTCTGCTCCAAAAAGATGGCCAAATGAGGTGGAACAGATAAAGCACGGTGGCGAGTTGGTTATGTGTTCACACTGAGTCATGGGTACGTGGGGGGGCTTATTGTAGTACTCTAAACTGTCTTGTGAATTTTTAGAATTTCTATCACAAAAGGTTTCTGAAAGAGAAAAAGGAGAACTGGCTCCACATAAAGGTGCATGGCCAGCCAATACAGCTGCATCTGATGTGGTGTCACCATGGGGAGATGTGGTCTTGCTGTTTTCCACGGCCCTTAGAGTGAGGAGCAGAAGAGCAGGGGAACCTGGTCGAGGCAGCCACAATGTGTGAGCCGGGGCCACACGGGTCACTGCCAGCTGGGTGGGTTCCACGGAGCTGTCCAGTAGAATCTCCCGGGAGCCTGAACCCCAGAGCAAGGGGCTCCTCGATTGGTCTGGCAAAGCACTCAGACACCTGCGGTGGTTTAAGTGCCCTGGTGTCTCTAATGCGCGCAGAGTTAAAAACCAGAGCTTTTGTTAAAAACCTCCCTCTGTTTATGGATGGCAACATTGACACTGAAGGACACATCACACACCAGTGGCGCCCCTGCAAGGAACCCTGGCATCCTGGCTCCCAGTCTGGCACCTTTCCACTGCACCACACTCTCAGGGGTGCTCAGGGGCATAAGCTCTGCTGGCCAGCATGCCTCGGTTCAAAAGCCAGCTCTGCTTCTCCGAGGCATGCAACAGCAGGCAGGATTCTGGAGGTCCCACGACCCTCACCAGCAAACTGGGGCCCTTTCAGTTTGCAGTGGTATGCATGGGGTCAGATAAACTCGGACGTAGAGTGCTTAATAGATGTCAATACAAACAGCTGATTTCCTGCCCCTCAACTGTGAATTCCTTGGGGACAGGAGCCAGGTCATTATCATCTCCATCTCCAAGAGTCTGAACTGAGGCCCTGAGGTACTGTGCTCAGCCAGTGAGTAAATCAATGAATGAATGGACAGACTTTACAGAAAGAGGCAGTAAGTGGCGCTTGATGACCCCTGGGCCACTAGCAGAGGTCCTCAGGCCATGGGCACTCTGGCTCCAGAGTATTCTTGGACATGTGGTCCCACAGCCCCCGCAGGTTAGCCCTGCAGTGCTGTGGTGGGTCACATGGGCCATGTGCCTCCAGCCCGAGTCAAGGCTTTGAAAGCGCAGGTGACCCGATGTTACTTAGGAAGCTGACTTGCCCGATCTGGTCACCAGACTGTCCCTTACAAATATTCACATGCCCAGAGCAGCTTCATTCAGATTCACACCTGCCCATGCAGAGAACAGCTCTGGGGTTCTTAGTTCCCAAACACAAAGTTACAGTCCTTATGTGGTGACAACCCCAGGCATGCGTACAGAGTTTCCAAACATTCCCAGACTGCGGGACCTCTGACTTGACCTCACAGCCACCCTCCTAGAAAGAGGACCACATGAGCCCCAAAGGAAAGAGAGGGTTTGGGTGAGGTCACACAGGGACAGCCCAGAATCAGAGAAACTCATGGAGGAAGGGACGTGGCGGTCACCCACATACACCCCCGAGTCCTGAGTATTAGGAGCTTCCTCACGTTCAGGATGGGACTCTCGTGACATTTGAGATGGGGTCTTTGCATCTTTGGCCAGCTTTGCCCATTATAAAGTTTTCATTTGAATTCGAGGACAATTGGGACAAGAGGCCGGGTGCCCTAGATTTTTTTCGCCCTTGCATTTCCTCTGCAAACTGTAGCTTCCTGGGCATTCCCAGGTTGGATGCCCCTCAAAGGCCCAAATCTGGAACTTAATGAACCACGATGAAACCCACCTCTAAGCAAGCCTCTAAGCAAGTCCCTCCCAGGACTCTGGCCCTTCTTTTCCTCCTCTGGAAGACGGGCCGCACCTCATCTTCATGCCTCTACGCCACTTACCGGAGTGACCCCTCTTTCAGAGGCCACTGTGGGTACGGGCAGCGGGGGCCGCTCCGGGAGGCTGCTGCCCACCTCTTCCGCCTCAGCCTCAGCCGTGGGAAGGGGCTCCGCTGTCACAGCTGCTGCCAGCTCTCCCTCATCACCAGGCCCCTGAAGAGCAAAACCAGCAAGAGGAATCACCTCCCCTCCCGGATGATGCAATGTGCGGCATCGCTGCTGGGGGGTGTGGGTGACAGTGTTCCTAGGGCGCCAGTCCCGGTTTCACGAGACCTGCTTACCTTCAACTGTCCTCACCGCATCACAGGAGCACGGACTCGCAACCCCCTCCAACATGCGCGCCTCCCCTGGCGGTGGGGCGCTCCCTCCCCACCCTTCTCCCCGGCCACCCCGCTCCTTCCACAGCCCCCCTCCCCGCCTCCCCCTCCCTGGGGTGGTGACGACCCACGTCCGCGCCCTTGCCAAGCTGAGGGCTGCCCTGGCCTCTGGAAGGCCAGGCACTGCTCCTGCCTCGGCCCGCTGCCCCCCCCCCCCCCCCCCCCCCCCCCCGCTGCAAGGCACGCTGACCCACCCCCCGCTGCGAGGCACAGGGAAGGCCAGGAGATGCTTACGAGAGCACCCGCTTGCTCAGGGGCCGCTGTGGGTGGGAGGAGAACCAGGCCACCCGTGGGGACCTGGCGAGCCTCCTCTTCCTCAGACGTGCTGCCGGGCACTTCCGTCGCGGCTGCTGATGCTGTGAACATTCCTTCAGCGACTGCACCCTGAAGGGAAGAGGCATGAGAACAGGCCGCTCCTTCCACACCCCTGGTTCAGCAGCCGGGCCAAGGCAGACAAGTAACAGGGCCGTAGCTTTGCTCCTGCGAGGCCCGCCTTGGCCCACAGGCCCCTGGAGACCCAGGCTGGGGCACCTCTCAGGTCAGCAGGCCACCCCAGGCTCCCCCGCGCTTTGGCCTAAGCCTGCACACGCTCGGGCCCAGCGCTCACCACCGCCCAGGCAGCCCTGCCCCTGCACCCCAGGCAGCCCTGCCCCTGCCACCCCGGCGGCAGCTCGGCAGCTCCGCTGGCCTCCAGGAGTCAGGACTCAGGCCCTAGTTTTCTCACGCTGTGACAAGGGCTTTGCCTTTCAACAAGTGGGGGAGGGAAGGATGAGGAGTGAGGGGAAAGAGATGGGAGGGGAAAGAGAAAAGGAAAGGAGGAGGAGGGGAAAAGGAGGAGGAGAAGGTGGAGGCAGCCACTTTGTTAATTAAAATAACCCATGTGACTTGCACTTGCAAGTGGCCTAGAGAGCTCTGTCAGTGGGTCCCCACTGCGAAGTTCCCCTCATGGACCAAAGGGGAAAGACTGGGAGCAAACATATGGAATGTTCTCAAAGGCCAGGGCTGTTGATATGTGACAGCCAGATGACACCTCCAGTCATTCATCCAGCAAATATCCACCGAGTACCCACCATTTATTTGCGGGGAGGAAGACAATGAACAAGATGTATATATAATCCCTGTCCTATTAGAGCTTACACTGCGGAGGGAGCCAGAAATGAACTATTTATTAAGATTATTATTACCTGGATGCTTGGGTGGCCCAGTGGTTGAGCATCTGCCTTTGGCTCAAGTCGTGATCCTGGGGTCCTGGGATCAAGTCCCACACTGGGCTCCCTACGTGGAGCCTGCTTCTCCCTTTGCCTGTGTCTCTGTGTCTCTCATGAATAAATAAAATATTTTTTTAAAAAAAAAATCGCGCCCTGGGCTGAAGGCGGCGCTAAACTGCTGAGCCACCCAGGCTGTCCTAAATAAAATCTTTTAAAAAAAGGTTATTATTAACTACAATTATCATGAGGCCTTCCAAAGAGAGGTTTGAGTACCACGAACATGTCTGATGAGAAGATTCACAGTCTGAGATGGTACTTCCTTTTTTTTTTTTTAAGATTTATTTATTTATTTTGGAAGGGGGTGGGGAGAGAGAGAGAGAAAATGAGCACGAGGGGGAGGAGAGAGTGGCAGTAGGAGAGGGAAAGAGAGAATCTCAAGTGGACTCCCTGTGGAGCCTGGAGCCCAATACAGGGCTCCATATCATGACCCTGAGATCATGACCTGAGCCAAAATTGAGAGGCAGACACAACTCACTGAACCACCCAGACGCCCCTGGGATGGTACTTCCTTGACAAAGTGCTTGAGCTGAACTCTGAAGGATAAGCCAGGATTCAAGGCAGGGCAGAGGAAGGAAAAGGTTCTAGGCAGAGAGGAGAGGGTATGGGAAGATCCTAAGCAGAGAAGCACAGTCAAGAAACTGCAGGAAGGTCAGTGAAGTGGGAGCACCGAGAGCCAGGGAGACAGTGGCCTATGAAGTGGTCACCAAGGCTGGCCAGGCCGGACCCTGCAAGGCCTTGTGGCCACGTGGGGGAGCAGGGTCTGGAGTGAGGGCGATGGGAAGCTCCATGCAGAGGGTTGCCCCCCACCCCAGGGAGAGTTGAGGGAGAGGATGGAGGTGAGGTGGAGCCTTAGTCGTCTCAGTCCCACAGGCTGGGGCTGGGAAGGGTAGAAGGAGGCAGGTCTATAACGGATTTAGGTAGAAAAATCAATAAGACTTGATGCTTAACAGGATGTGGAGAATAAGGAAGAGGGAAGAGAATTCTGGATTGGCCGACTAGGGGGCGATGGTCCCTATCGTTGAGGTGGGAACACAGGAGGAGTGGACATGAGGAGTCCAGGGCTGAGTCTGAGTCTGAAGAACTTGCAGGACTCCCACTATAATCACGTCATAGGGACAGACCCACTAAGTGTCTTAGAATATCTGCGTCCCACCTTCATGAGCTGGGAACACTGTCTCCATGTCGCCTAAGGAGAGGGCTGAGGGAGTTTGGCCCTGCCCTTGACTCTGCCCTCTCACAGCCCACGCTTGTGCCCAGAAATAGGGCTTGACCACACGCGTGCCCAGGCCTTGGCCAACTCCACTCCAGAGAAGTGCCCCACTCAGGCTCCTTTGGATGTGCTGAACAGAATGAAGACTGGTCCTCCAAGAAGGCCAGGACCTGCTCCAGCTGTGGCCTCAACCCCGAGGCACTTTGCACTCCTTACCAGGGTAACCCCTGTCCCAGGGTCCTGGACGGCCATGGAGAGGGTCGCTCCCTCTGTGGGCACACTGTCGGCCTCTGTTTCGTTGGTGGCGCTATCAGGCACCTCGGCCTCCCCAGCTGCCGTGGCTCCCGAGCCTTCTTCAGCATCTACACTCTGAACAGGAAGACATTGAGAGGGGCCTGTCAGCGGTCCACTGTGGTCCGTGTGGCTGGAGCCAGCAGACAGCCAGGGTCCCTTGGGCATCTGCACCCTGTGGCTTCCTCGCCTTCAAAGCACTTGCACATCCAAGACCTCATCTTGCGCAGCACCGTGAACACAGCACCCATGCGGAAACCCACGTCTCGCACACCATGCAAGGTGTGAGCCCCTGGCCAGCGTGCCACCTGTGTGGTTCACCCCGCTCCTCCCTACCATCCTCGCTGCCACCCACCCCTATCCCTTCCCTCTTCCTTCCACTGCTCCTGGGAGTGGGGCTTTCACCGACGCCCCAGTCGTGGTGCCAGGGCAAAATCCAGGGACCCGCAACACACAGCCTTCTCCCTCATTAAGAGGAGTTGGCTGGCCTCACTGATCTCCTCACCTCGCTCTCCTTCCACCCCTCCCGCACCCCTAACCCTGCCCTCCCCGAGGCCACCAACAGTCATAGAGGCAGACCCACCAGCCGCCTTCCAGGCCTTTACTCACTGAGACTCTGGGAAGAATATGAAAGCACTGACCAAACCCAGAGCGAGCCGATACCACCCCTTGCCTGGACCATGACACAGCCTCCGATCCCAGCCCCGGCCTCCAGGCTTGCTTCTCCCAGCCTTTCTCCACTTTCTGAGACCTACTTTGACTAGTCCATTAGCCCACTTCTGAACACATTCCAGCTCCCACTCGCGGCTCTCAGGGTCTCGGGGGCCTCTCTAGCCACATTGCCTGCCTCCTCTTGTTCACACTCGACCCTCTGCATGTTCCCATTGATGCCTCCAGGTCTCTGCTTCTGCTAGCCCTCCTCCTGGAACACCTGTCTCACTCTCACCTGCCAGGTTCCTTCTCAGCGTCCCCATAGCCTCACCTTCAGCAGCATCCTATCCTCAGGAAGGCGTCCAGGGCCCCTGATCTTTTGGGTTGGGTTCTGGGCCCCTTTCAGTGCTTTTCCTATTGCATCTCTTATGGCTCTGTCCCCAGGAATTGGTCTATCCTGTCTACCCATGTCCCACATAACACATCACTCCACAAACAGCTGAATGAGTCAACAGACCCCTCAGCCTCCAAATCGGGGTCTACACAGACTTGATCCCACAAGGCTATCACTCTGCATTCTGCAGACTGATAAGGAAGACCAGTGACTGCCCCCACCTGTGATGCCCACCATCCCCCAGAAACAGCAAGTGCTCTGAGCTACTTACCAGAGTGACCCTTTCCCCCATATCTTCAGTGGACAAGGAGAGAGCTGGCCCCCCGGTGGGCATACTGCTGGCCTCCGCTTCCCCGGCAGTGCTGGTGGGCACCTCAGCCTCCCCGGTGGCCGCTGTGGCTGCCAAACCTTCTTCAGTATGCACAGCCTGAAACAAAAGCATCATGAGGCACCATGTCAGGGGGCCTATGGCTCTGATCCATGTGCCTGTGGCTGGAGGGAACAGACTGCCCACAGCCCTCCCTCTCAGCTTGCATTCCTGTAGCTTCCTTCTCTCGAAGCAACTTTCTTATCTATGCCTTCACCCCAGCCCCAAGACAGTCCCGGAATCACAGAATCCCAGGGACAGGAAAGACCGTGAGGCAACTGTATCTCCTGTTTGAGTCCAAGCATCTGTTTGCACATGCCCAGTGGCCAGGCCATCCCTGTCTCCTGAGTTAGCCTGCTCCAGCTCTAGACGCTTCTATCTAGACACATCTGTCTCCCTGTGACCTGCCCTAGGTGCCGCTCCAGAAGCCATAAGGACAAATCGAATGCTTTTGCCCCTGACGGTGCTTCAGAGATGTGCAGACAACAACCTTGTCCTCCTCAGCCTTCTCCAGACCGAACCCCGTGATCCTTCTTTGCTTGGGACTCAGTTTCCTTGGGAAATGCAGAACCTTCTCTGGAGGTTACACAGCAGATGCAAGAAATGGAAATAGCAGTTTTGGGTGCTAGTGTGATCCAACTATCTCAGTTTTCTCTCAGTTTCCAAACGTTTCTTTTTTTTTTCTTTTAAATTTGGAGGGTTGTTCTGTTTTATTTTGTTCTGTTTTGCAAAACGTAGTTCTTTTGGATACTAAAACCATTAAGCTGACCAAAGTTAGATTTTCTTGCTGCAGGACTTACAAGGAGTCTATAAAAAGGAGGATAGAAAGTGGAGTATCTCCCAAATGTATCTGACCACAGAACCCTTTTTCGTACGATATAAATCCTTGCAGAATTATTGTCCTTCCCCAAAAAAGAAAGAAAAGATGACATCACAGCTTTTCAAATGAGACTCTTTGTGCCTCAAATTTAGCTGAAGTCCCAAAGGGCTTTACAATAAAGTACAATTAAGAACAATTAATTCATTGTATAATAAAGTACACTTCCACATGCTAGAAAAAGCAACCAGACCACCTGTGTGGCCACGTGCTATGAGACAAGAAAGGAAATCAGTTTGTTTGGTTTTTTTAAATTTAAATTCAATTTGCAAACATGTAGCATAACACCCAGTGCTCATCCCATCAAATGTCCTCCTCGGTGCCGGTCACCCAGTTACCCCATCCCCCCACCCACCCACCTCTCCTTCTGCAACCCTTTGTTTCCCAGAGTTATGATCTCTTGTGGTTCTATCAGTTAGCCCCCGACCTGCCTCCAGCCACCAGCTGCCTCAGGGCTATATAGGGAAAGGTAAAGAATTCCTTTGGAGAGAGAATCATCTGTGTGCTGAGATTTTCTCCTCCTTCCTCCCCACTGCAAACCATTTGTGAGCTGGATATGTGTTCTTTGGAATTGGGAGACAAAGGGACTGAATTTTGATATTATGCTGGACTGGACTTTGGAAATAGCTGTGAAAATAGGTTATTATCAGATCGTGACTGGGAGAGAATGAGAGGTGTCCGCGTTTCATCCCAGGATAGCAGAAAGAAACACCCGAACCTGTGAGTTTTTAGCACAGGTTGTTGTGCAAAAAATACATTTGCTTCAATTTCACACCTCACTGTGTCTAGCATTTTAAAAAATTGGCTTTGTGGGTATAAAAGCCAATTACACGACAATGGAGTGGGCACATATGCAATCAATCTGATTCTGTCTTCAAGGAGATCCAAAGGAAAAGGCTGTGTATCTTCACAAATGAGCAGGAGGGAGATGGGTACAACAATGAGGACCCAGGACTCATTTCCAGGCAGGTATGAGGACTAGCTCATGCTGCATCTCCTCTCCCTGTCCTGGGGCATCCCTGGAGAACCTCCTGGGCCCTGGGTCTCCCCTCCTCCGTACCAACAACTAAAACCCTCGTGATTCTTTATCGTGCCCAATACAAGTCACCATCAAGCCTGAAATAAGCAACCAATTTACTACTGACTCAGCAAATGAAATCTACCATTCACTCACCTCCTCAGTGACATGAATGAAGGCCCCATCCCCTGAGCCAACATCTGTAATGGGGACACCATCCACAGTATGAACTTCCTCCAGTGTGTCATTCAGGACTTCACCAGACCCTACGGAAGCAGGCATTCTGGAATTAACAACTGCATTTTGTAATCTTGAAAAAACAATGAAGCACCTCTTTACCTATTAACTTGAAAAGATGTCCATAATATAGGATTAAGAGGAGAAAAAACCAAGTTGCAGAAAAACAGATGTTGAGGCGGATTATTACCCTGTCCTTTAATCACATAGGCTGGCACCAACTGTGGGGTGGGAACCCCGCTTTGCCACTTCCTAGGAACATGATCTGTGGCAAGTCATTCAACCTGGGCCTCAAGTTCCTCGTCTATAAGTCATGAGCAACAATTCCTATTTCACAAGGTTGCTTGGAAGATTATGTGCTACGAGGATTAAATAAGTTAATACAAAAAAAGCACTGAGGACAGCCCCTCAATACAGTTAGCAATAAATATAGTTAGCAATTGATAAATGCTCATTGTCAGTGTGGTTCTATGTGTGTTAAGTGAAAAAGACTATATGAATATACATGTTTTATCATTATTATATATATATAACCTTCATTATATAACTAACACAGTTATTAAATAACATATGTAATATATAGATACGTATGTGTGTGTGTGTGCAGCACAAGGTTGGCTAAACCACACTGCTTAATACTGGTTTCCGCCAGAGGATAGGAAAGAAAATTTTGGAGGGTTCATAAGACTCTGCATTGATTGAACTGTTACCACAAGCACATATCTCTTGTGCAATTTAAAAAAACAAGTAGATTCCTAAAGCAAAAAAAGAGAAGAAGAAGAAGAAGAAGAAGAAGAAGAAGAAGAAGAAGAAGAAGAAGAAGAAGAAGAAGAAGAGAGAAGAAGAAGAAGAAGAAATTATACTAATATGAATGTATGCCTGTCATGGGCTGGGCCCCAGGCTAAGCATGTCCCATGAGGTGCCTCATTTGATCCTCCCGCTAGGCCATCTGTCCTACCTGCAAGGACCTTTCATCACCTGACAGCTGGGGGAGCAGAGCCCGGACAGGAATCCCACGTTTTCCATCTGCCCACTATCACCCCATGGCATGCCTGTGCTGCTCCGGTGTGCACATTAACACTTTATGATGATTAACCCCATTTTGCTGAAGACAAACAGGTCCCACAGAAAGTTAGTGACTGGGAGGGGCCTCGAAGCCAGGTCGGCCTGTCCCCACATCCACACCGTGCTGTGCTAGGCATGTCCCCTGGTGAGAACAGTGTGGGCAGGGGAGGTGCTGAGCTATGGCCCACCCGCATCTTCTCTCTCTTCTCTCTCGTCCTCCCAGATCTGGCCACCAGGGGGTGCTGTGCAAGCAGCAGGCCAGACCCCGAAGGCCTGAGTCCCCACTCCTTGGAGGATGTTAAGTTGGAGGTGTGGGGTGGGGGTGGGGGTGCCCTGAGCCAAGACAGTCTCAGGAAAGCTTGGAATAAAACTACTAGGTAGCTTTGCCTAGACGGGCACAGGGCTCTGGGTTCAGGCCCCTTTCTCCTCACTATCTGGGCTGTCTACTCAAAAGAACAGCAAGCTCCGTTGTTTCCATTTGGCCTCTTCTCTGCCTGTAAAGGAATCTGGCTGATTCCAGGGAACAGAGGAGAGAGGTGCTTAGATCTGCGTCCCAGTCTGCATTGGCTCCCACCTCCTTTGCACTCACACGCACCCCCACTCCCCACCCCCAGCCTAAGGAGAGGCCCTTGCTCCGCTTGCAGCCCTTGCTGGTTCCTTGCCCCTCCTTAGAGATCCTAATTCCACTCAGGAGAACAGCATTCCCGATTCATAAACCACTTCCACATCCCTGGCTGGGTCCAATCCTCTAAACTACCTGGGAGGTGGGGACTGTGAACATTCCCAGGGGGGCAGTTAAAGAATCTGAAGCTTGGAAATGTTAAGCAACGTGTGCCAGGCCTTAAGAGCAAATAGGTGGCTGAGTAGAGCTGCTGCCCAAACTGTCTGCTCCGTCCCAGGTCTTCCACGGCAACACCCTGACTCTGCGGTTGTTATTATGACTTTATTAAGTTATCATACAAATTTTTTCCTATTCAGTACTGTATACCTTCTCTCACCCAGAGACTTCCCACTTTAGATGTTAAAATAACATGCATTTTCTGATGGTAGCAGTAAAAAGAAGAATGAGGCGTATGATTGCAGAAGGCTTGTCAAACACAGAAGAAAGGAAAACCACCCACAATCCTACCGCCCAGATAACTACTTATAACATTTTGTTGTCTATTACTCTAACACACACACGCACACACACTGCTCTACATGCCTATACATAAATGGATATAAAAATATATTCAAAATGAGGGTTACAGCCTACATGCAGTGTTGAAATCCACTTTTTTTGTGGAGTATACCACAAACCCGTCCCTGGATCATTCAATCCTCTGCATCACCAATATCGGAGCTCAACATAAAAATGAAATACAATTTGGCCAACCAATCTTTCCTACAGGCAGTCTGAGTGGGCTTTTGCCCTTGTTTTTTTGCCCTGCATGTTGGTGCTCTGGCACAAGCAGTAACCTCAGCCTGAAGCAGCCGCCCCTCTGATATAGGACAGAAATTTCAGGCCTTGGGTACATGTCAGGCAGCCGCCTAGGGGATCACATCAGATTCTGGGTTTTGACCAGTGTTCTCTGCACACTGCAGAATGACAAGGGTCAGGGGCAAGAGCCCTGGATGGGGAGCCAGGAGACCAGCACTCCCCCAGGGCCTGCCACTGACCTGCTGGGTGCCTGCCCCTCTCTGGCCACCAGTGTCTCACGTGTGCCACGTAGGAGTTTATACGACCTGATCCTATTCTCTGAGACTCAGGAGTTTGCGGCTGAAGCTGGAAAGGATGGGGATTCTGGAATCAGGCCTGGACACTGGGTCAGTCCCACTACTCACTAGCCGTCTGAGCATGGGCATGAGCCGTGACTATGAGCATATCACTTACCTTTTCAAGTATCAGGTTTTCCACCCATAAAATACTGGCCAATAAAACCAACCGGGAGAGGTACTTCCAAGATTGTAGATGGAGTATGTGAACACTTGGCACACAGTAGGTATTTAATAAAGAGCAACAATTCCTGCAAGCTTTTCTGTTGGAACTTGGGCCTTTCCAGAGTCTAGGGATTAAAAGTTCAAGTATCCAAGTTCAAATGCAGCTCTGCCATTTGCAAGCCAAAGAGCCTCAGCTAGGTGACCTCACTTCTCTGTGACTTTATTTCCCCATCTTGTCTATAAAACGAGGATGGTTATAATTCCTTCCTCGAAGGGCCGAGGGGAAGGTTAAATGAGATGCTCCATGTGGCATACATCCCCCAGGCTGGGCACACAGCAATCGCTTCACAGAAGACCATCGTGTATGAAGGCGCAACAGGGACTTGCCTTGCTCTGGGCTGCTATGCAGGCTGACACTCAAGTTGCCGGTTTCCGCAGTCCCCTCGGGTACGGGCTCACCAGAAAGTTCTGTGTCGTCAGAAGGAGGGGATGGAGTTGGAGGTGCGTTTATGGGTTCAACTTTTGCTTCTTTAGACTGAAGGGAGGAAAAACAAAACCCAAAAGGATTTACTTGGGAGGGAAGCAGGAAAAAAATGGCAGTGATTTTCACTGGGGGAAATAATATATCCACGACGTGCTAAACAAACCCAGAAAAATATCTGGACCTGCCTATTGTATACGTAGGCAATCACTGACCCTCCCAGGACCTGAAAAAGGAACTTGAGAAAGAGCAGCACCTCCATAGTGCTTTTCCCTGGGTGTTGGTATTAAAGGTGATTGTTTTATCTTTTTTCGTTCATCCACAATTGCAGTTTTTCCAGTAACGAACACAGAATATTTATGTATTAAAAATAAAATGTAGGTTATTGTACTGTAAAATCTCCAGGGCAGAAGCAGGAATGAAAGTCTCCAAGAAGTTGGGCCTTAAAGAATGAGGAGAGTTTCAGAAGACAGGGATGGAGGGAGGCTCCTGGTAAGAAAGGACACAGCACTGTTAGCACCTGGCTTACCTGTGCCTGGCGAGGGTTCGAGGGCTCGGGGAGAGAAGCAGGTGGACGGAGCCAGGGGAGGCAGAGAGCAGAGAGCTCAGTTCTTTGGTGAGAAGTCTGACCTTGCACCTGGGGTGTTCATGGGTATTAGGCTCAAGAGAAGTGTATGCATTGGGGAGTTCAGCCTGGCACCAATGAGAGCGTGGATTTGAGGGTTGAGAGTTGAGTTTAGGTCAAGAAACTGGGAGGCTGGGATGCCTGGGTGGCTCAGTGGATGAGCACCTGCCTTTGGCCCAGGGCGTGATCCTGGAGTCCTGGGATCGAGTCCCACTTTGGGCTCCCTGCATGGAGCCTGCTTCTCCCTCTGCCTGTGTCTCTGCCTCTCTCTCTGTGCCTCTCATGAATAAATAAATAGCCTTTTTGAAAAAAAAAAGAAAAGAAAGAAACTGGGAGGCTGCACAGTAAAATCCCAGCGAGGCAGGAATCGGGGATGGTGAGCGGTGGGAGAAAGAGAGCAGGCCCCACCACCAGCGGGCTGTGAAGAACTCCCAAGCACGCTCCCCTGCTTCTCCCCAGCTGCAGGGGGGGGCCCAGCCGGGTGGTGTGAGCTCTGCCCTAGGCAGTTCCTCTCCTCTCCCTTCCTTCGAGAAGCAGGGGGGCACTCTGCTGTGGTTCTCTGATGGCGTCCCTGCTGGTAGCTGGAAGCGAAGCTGCTTTGTAAGGGGTTTGAGCTTTGGGATCAGGCAGGCAGGCAGGGCAGGCAGGGGTATGGGAAACCAGAGCACAACGTAACAATGGGCTGAGCTCTGCTCAAGACGGCAACAGTCCTGTTACGTGAAATCACGGACTCCAGCCGGTGCGCCAAAACCCTCGTTTGTCAAACTCCCAAGAAGTCAGCTACCAACTGCGCTTCGAGGCAGAGCATGAATCAGGTAAGCTGACCCTTGGTGGTTAGGGTCAGCTGTCCTGCCTCCAACAGGTGGCTGTTGGTTTTCAGGGGTTAGTGTGGATGCGGAACCTGTGTGTCTATGACAAAATGGGACTACCGAGTCTCAAGACTTTGTATCAAAGGTGTAGAGGCTTGCTGAGCCTCTCTCATTCACAAACAGAATTCTTCATTCCACACGTACTTCCTGAGGCCCTACTGTGTGCCGCGTCCTTAGCGGATCCTCAGGGATACAGAAATGAAGGCCTTAAATTGTACTGGGGGGAGACCCAGACTCAGACACGATGTGCTTGAATGTGACATGTGGGACAGCAGAGTGAGTGAGAGCAGAGTACAGGAGGGACACTCCGACAAGGGGCTGCGGACAGGATCCTGAACAGTTAGGACTTGGCCGGGGGGTGGGGGGAGGTGGGGGGGCGAGAAGGGCCCTCCAGGCAAACAGACCACCCAGGCCAAGGCCTGGGTGAACGAGTTACAAATGTTTACAGTCTGGGAAAACTGTGAGCATTTAGGTGTGGCTGGAAAAGAGGCCCTGGCTGCGGATCCAAATCACCTGCAGAGCTTTTGCAAGTGCACTTTCTTGGGCCTCATTCCAGCCCTCCTGAATCTGAATGTCCAGGTACACAGCCCAGAGGCAACTGTCCCCCCACCGATCTCCCCCCACCACCACCTCCCGCCAAGACACACACGTGATTTTGACGCACAGCCAGGCCTGGGAACCACAGGGACATTAATTCTAACTGAGCACGATAGAACTTTCCAGAAATGGAAAGGTGTGTCAATAGAAGCTGACTTAGGGGGAAGCATGCGGTGGCAGGGACTCCTGCCCTAAATGGGGAAAGAGGTGAGGAGGGCTGGCTTTTTAAGTCCCTGACTGCTCCGGCAGGCCATGATTCAGTTCGCCGCTGGTCATGGCTTGTGTCTTGCAGAGTGGCAGGTTGGAAGGGGCGAGGACAGGGAAGTGAGATTCATTCCAAGAGAGAAGCCAGACAGAGATGAGAGGGAAACATCTGAGAGAAGAGGGGAATTCCCCCGTCCTGGAGGGGTGGCCCTGGAGGGGAGCTGGAGCCCTCCCAGGAGGTGGTGACATGAGAGACAGAGCCCTGGACCCGAGCTGGAGACCTGGCTGTGCCACTGCCTGGCGGGGCAGCCCTGGGGACAAACTAGTCACTCCTCTGTGCCTCAGTGCCCCCTCTGAGGAATGAATGAAAAACACTCCCCCGGAAACAGCAAAGGAAGTGCTGCTCTGCAGGAGCCACGCAGGGAGGCAGCGAACAACACTCAGATGCCAGGAACAGACAAGTTAGCATCAGCACCCACAGGCCAGAGAGAATTCTGTTAAGGACTACGGGCAACCACAGGGGTTTGGCATGCCCAGCAGCCCCAGTCACCAGCCAACCAGGAAGCAGGTGCTGGGAAGGGGGCCCCCAGCAGACCAGGGCGCTCTAGGGCAATAATCTTATCAGTGGAGAGCGACGCCCACCACCACGCACGGAGGGCTGCCCATGTTTCACGGGGGCCACGTAACCCGCACCAGCCCCCTCAACGGAGGAGGAGGAAGTTACTGACCCCCAGCCAACAACCAGCAAGTGGAGAGCTGAGCCACACCGGGTGGGACTCTGATGGGCACCGGTTCTCTTAACGCCGCAGAGGACAGTGTGGCTGGGAAGTCTAGGAAGTAAAGTGTCCAAGGAGGGAGGGGGCCCAGGGACCACCAAGTCCCTCAAATCACTCTTCTCTTCTCCAGACACCAGAAGGATGTAGTCCTTACCTCCTCCTGACTGCAGCGTGCTCGGACACCTGCCCCGCGCCTGTGGCACTGTGGCCCGAGGTCCTGACTCCACCACTGCCTGACCCTGGCAAAGCCACCCTGTTCCCTGAGCATCTGCCACCACCTCCCTTGCAAGGTTGTTGCAAGGATTGAATTAAGTCACGTATATGCAAGCACCAGGCCCACAGTGGGTATGGAGAAGTGCTGGTTCTCTTCCATCCCTTCCTTTTCTCTACCCCTGTCCAGAGCTGCCCAGCTTCAATGCCTCCTCCACCAGGAAGCCCTCCCTGGGTGGTCCCTGCTGCCATGATCATCTCATGCTCTCAAACCCTCACTCCCCTTTTCCGTTCCTCTTGCGGGGCCACCATGTGTTACTGGCATCTCTGCCTGAGCTGGCTTCACGCCGAGCTGGGAACTGGGGCACTGCGGGGGCAGCGCGTCAGGCTAGAAGGAACCACCACTCTAGGCCTGCTGCAAGTGCCCTGGACATGCCAATGGGGTGGCCAAGAGCTGTGGCACATAGGGTTACGACACTGCCGAGAGCAGCCACAGCCCCATCACCATCTAGGCCACCTTAGACCCTTGCCTCTTCCATCTCAGCTGCCCTCGAACTGGCTGTGGTCCTGGGGAGGAGCCTCTGCAGCACCCTGAGGCCAGAAGCACGAGGCTGTGGCCTGAGCCCTGGATGGGGCGTCAGGGGGCTCGTGCTCTAGCTTCAGCTCCACCCAGGTACCCAAGGGCCACTCTGTTCCCCTGCCTGGGCCTCAATTTGCCCATCTGTCCAAAGGGCAGTTTTCCATACATCTCTGTACAGAAAGCGGGGACCTTTAAGTCTCCCCAGCACTAACAGACTGAGGTTCCATTCTGCTCCACCCAAACCTCTGTCACCAGAGACCTATACTCTATAGCCTCTGCCCTATTTCCATCTCCTTGCTTTCTTTTATCAGGGATAAGTCTGTAGAATGTGCCAGACCAGTCAAGGAGATTGCTGGGCTTCTGTGTTCAATGACTCAGACACTGCTGTCTTCATTAAAAATGGGTTCCTGCTGTCCCCATGGTCTGACTCAGTGCTTTCAAAACCACTTCCTTGTCTGGGGCACAGAGTACATTCCCAGGAGGGAGGAGGCCCCAACCACTGCAAGGATGGCAGCCTTTCCCATGGGGCCAGAAGGGAGCTCCTGGGAAGACTCTGCATCTCACAGGAGTGGGGGCCCTGCCTTCTTTCCCATAGCTCAGAGCCCTGAGCAAATGCGACACCAGCCACCATTCGGCGGCACCACTTCCCTCGTCCCAGACACTGGGCTGAGACCTGCCCCTGCACTGCTTCATCTGACCCTCCCAACACCTCCTTGAGAGAGGACTCTGATTAGCTTTTTATGGAAGAGGAGCTGAGGCTCAGAGAGGCTGAGTAAGTCACCTAAGCTCACAGAGCTGGGAGGGAGTGGAGCACGCTTGCCTTTGGACGGTCCTCTTGTGGCCTAGAGATAACTGGCATTTCACTGCACTGGGAATTTGGCAAAATGCCTTGGCCAGGACTTTCCTGACCTTCCCAGGTGAGCCCACAATTAAAGTCACAGATCTAAGAAAAGAGACGTCAGACCCAGAGCTCGGGGCCCTCTCTATTAACGCCCGGCCCCTAAAAGCTGACCAAGAAGGTGCGGCGAGGCAGCCAGTACTCACCGGGGCTTGAGTGTAGGTGACAGCTTCTAAGATCTCCGCTACTCCCTCTGGCTCCTGAAGCCCGCTGCTCTCTCCTGACGCCTGTGTGGAGACAAATCATGCCCGGCAGAGGGGGAGCAGCAGTTGACAAGTGGGACGGTCACTGACGGTGACTCCTTTGGAGAAACTGTGTGCGTGCGGGCATGCACGTGTGCATGTGCGAAAGAAGGGGACGGACAGAGCCAGAGAGAGCACTGTACAGTGCTCAGGCTTGGCTATTCTTTTCACTGTTCCTTCCATATTTTATTGCTCATGCAGTCAATGCACAGTCTCTCGAACATACCTACTTTCATCTTGTCCAGGGCCCTTCAGCCTCTGCCAAAGGCACTTCCATTTGCATGGCTGTCACCAGAATGTTACGCTGGAGAACCGTGACATTTGGAGAATGTCTTCCTATTGCTACCTTATTTTCATAATTAGCCTTCTGATGTCAGCCAGAGAGCCTGGGGGCCACCATCATTTTGTAAATAATACCTTATTCTTGGACTCTTGGGCGGCCTCTACTTTTCCAGTGCTAACAGCAGGGCAGAGAGCAGGGGATGATATATGTAAGGTGTCCCTTCTCCCAGCTTTAAAGGAATGGCAGGCCAGGGTTATGGCCTTGGGGAGTGCAAACGTTCTTACAGAGCCAAATTCCACCCCCAAAGGGCTTTCCCACTAAATTGGCAGCATTTTTTTCTAGATGAATGAAATCAGCTTATGCTGTACTTTGAGGTTGACATCCCCCAAAGAGAAAGAGAAGTTCTAGGAATATGCCACTCCATGCTCACCTCTGACTTTCTGCATCACGCTATGGCTTCTACCAGACAGGCCTTTTCCTCCTCATCCCCAGCTGAGACTTGTGTGTCATTGGTCAAGCATCAGCTCCTCTCTCACCTACTCTTTCACCTTCGTGCCCCGACCCAACCTGGAGAACTTGGGTTTGAGGACTTCCCAGGTTCCGGTCACCCCCAGCTCTGTCACTGCCTTTGGGCTTGTTAAGTGTGTGAGAGCAGCTTGAGGAGAGACAGCTGCCGATGTATCTCATTATTTCCAGCATCCCCCAGGTCTGTCACCTAGCAGGGACTCAGTAGGTCCTCGGGGGAGGGAGGGAGACAGAAGGTAAGGGGAGGGCGTGGAAGGACCCATCTTTTTTCCCTGCCTACCACTCCATCCCCAACTTAGGAACTGATTCATTTGCCAAGCATAAAAGCTAAATTTAGGCCCGTTTTTATAGGAATTTACACTCATGTCTTAGAGTTTTAACTTTGATTTTAGAATCCTGACACCCTTTCTTGGCAGGAAGTCTAGAAACCAGGCCACTGACTGCCACAGCCACAGAAGAACCTAACACCCCAAAATAAATACAACCCACCCCAATCCCCACAAAAGACATGGCTGAAGTTCTTAAAAAAATAAACTGAGCCCAAAAACTCAAAATAGGACTTGAGGCAGTGCTTGACAAGTCTAGAGATTTTAGAGACTCCATGACGTTGGGGAAGAGGAATTGCCTGGGTGTCCAGCCCTCCCTGGTCAACTGGCGGCTAGGGGTGGGGGCAGGGGCAGGGGAGATGGGGGCTCACCGAGGATTCTTCAGCTTCACACATCTCCTCGGGGGTCCTGGGGTCAGGGTGGATAGTGAGCTGCTGTATGGAGCCCTGGGGAAAAGCACAAGGTCAGAAGCCACTGCTTGCACATCTAAGACCACTAGTGGCAAACATGATTGTTCTTGTAACAGAGACCACGCCACTGAGTGAAAGGACAGGTGTGAGAATGTGCTGTGTGTGGCCATGACAACAGGATAAGCCACCTCTCGGCCCACCTCATTTAGGGGGACTCTCCTTGGGCCAATATAATATGAGCTCCACTAGCTGCAGAAGCCCCAGGGGAGTACTGTGTTCAGAGCACAGGCTAACACAGAAGCCCCCTAACTGGATCCAGATCCCTAGCCTGTTGGTGACAGGCCCTAAGATGCACGTCCATCTCCCTCACCCAGAAAGTGTCTTTCCCCTATAGCTCAAAGTTTCTTGGCCAGAGCCCTCGTGTGAAGAAGAAAGACCAGCCAGCCTCCCTGCCTCCACTCCTGCCTCCTCTCTCCACCCTGACAGTTGGTTTTCCATGATGCTCCCAAAGTGAGTGTTAAAAAACTGTAATTGGATTTTAACTTCTTCAGATTCACTCACCGTCTCCCACTAAACTACAAATAAACCCAAAAACTCTGCCCCACGGTACCATTTAGTACTGGTTAGGTAAGGTACGAGTATGTGTGCTGACTGGATGCATAACTGCAATAAAAGGGATTTTCTTAGAATGGCTTATGCATAAAAGCTTCTTTTGGGACACCTGTTGGCTCAGCGGTTGGGTGCCTGCCTTTGGCCCAGGGCGTGAACCTGGAGACCTGGGATCAAGTCCCATATCAGGCTCCCCACAAGGGACCTGCTTCTCCCTCTGCCTGTGTCTCTGCCTCTCTCTTGTGTCTCATGAATAAATATAATTTTTTAAATCTTAAAAAAAAATAAAGCCTGTTTGACAGGGCAATTTTCTGCTATTTTTTCAGAGAATATTGTCCAAAAGGAGAGAGAGAAACTACCTTTCACTCTGGCATTCTAGCTTCTTCTACCTTGGCAAAAATTAAATGCACCTGGCACTTCTCTCCCAAGGTAAGATCACTGAAAAAATAATAAACTATCCTCCTTTTATAAATGCCTGAAAATGCACAGAGAGCTTTCCCTCAGGCCATCCCACTTGACTCTACCACTCCATGGTGCAGACTTTCTCATCGTTGTGTACAGATAAGAAAACCCAGAGAGGATCAGAGAATCCACGTTCTGGAGTCATCAGAATAAATTGGAAACCTAGGACTGGAATCTAGGTTTTGGGTTCTGGGACTAGTGCTCATCCCACCACACATGCCTGCCTCTTTGAGGCTTTAAGAATAAAATAATGAGGGATCCGTGGGTGGCTCAGTGGTTGAATGTCTGCCTTTGGCTCAGGGAGTGATCCTGGGGTCCCAGGATCGAGTTCCGCATCGGGCTCCCTGTATGGAGCCTGCTTCTTCCTCTGCCTGTGTCTCTGCCTCTGTGTGTGTGTGTGTGTGTGTGTGTGTGTGTGTCTCATGAATAAATAAATAAAATCTTTAAAAAAGAAAGAATAAAATAATAACAAGAACAATGGCTTGTGTTTCTTGCACAGTGTCCAGCGGCCTCCCGGATCCACAGAGCTTAGACTCACGGTGAATCTCTCCAGCCCCGTGGCTCCTGCATTGCCCACGAAGATCCCTGCACTGGGCTCGAAAGCCAAGGCCCGGGAGGACCGCTGGAAGGAGATGTGGCTGTGCTCTTCACAGTCCATGAGGAGGGTCACCTCCTCGCCCTGGACGATCACCGCAAAGCGGTTCCACCGGTGGGTCATCACAGGCACCAGGAAGGCAGCAGCCTCATGGGACACGTGGGAGCCTGGCTCCGTGTAGTAGAGGATGACCCGCTGGCCACCATCCTCCACACCCGAAAGCCGCAGGCCCAGGTAGATGACCTTCTGGAAGGCATCAGTGATAGCAAAGAGCACCCCACCGCTGGCACTGCTGGGCTTCGCTGTGACGCTGATGGCGAAGTCCCTGAAGAAAGTGGGTGGGATGAGGGTCCTGGCTGGGCGGCCGACGTTGGCACCAGGCCCGAAGCTGTAGGCTGGGAAGCCACCATAGCCCGTGACAAAGGACACAGATGAGGGCAGCGGGACACCGATGAGCTCCGTGAGGTCCAGGGGGCCCTGGGAAGCCAACTCTGCAGGGAAGGAGACAGAGGCCATGCCTCACACATATATTCCACAATGCTTGAAAATGGGGAGGAAAAAAAAAAGGGAAATGGGATCCCTCAGAAACCTCCCTGGAGTTCCTTCCTTACCGGTTTACAAACTTTTTTGACAATGACCCACAATAAGAAATGCATTTATATTGCAACCCAATAGGCCCGTTTCAATAAACATATCTGTAACCCCAAAACAATGTTTCATAAAACATTATTTACTTTCAGTACTCTCCAGGCACTCCGAAATTTTCCTTTGGGGAATTCTTTTCCTCATTTATTAAAAGCATGCTGGAGGGGCGCCTGGGTGGGTCAGTCAGTTGAGCAGACGTCTGACTCTTGGTTTTGGCTCAGCCTCACGACACTGAGCCCCAAGCTGGGCTCCGTGCTCAACAGGGAGATGCTTAGGACTCTCTCCCTCTCTCTCTGCCCCTCCCCTCTCAAATAAATAGAATAATTAAAAGCATGCTGGCAATGACCCACTCAATTAATTTCATTACCCACTAAAAAGTCCTGACTGCAGTTTGGAAAACATTTTAAAGTATTTCCTAGAATATTCGAGGACTATATAAAGTTCTCCCATCAACTTACAGATTGTTCCTCGTTTCTCTCTATAAAACTGGGTAGGTTGGTTTGTTTTGAACGAGGTCTACTGTTGAAGTGCCCCCAGGGTTATGGGGAGAAGCTGGGACAAGGTGAAGTGTTCCTAGACTTCAGGGCTGTTGGAATTCTCATCATCATCAACAGGGACATTCCCTGAGTTCTCCTTCTGCGTGGAGCCCTGCGCTAAACTCTTCACATACATTAGCTCATTTTTCATCCTCATGATAACTCTGGGAGGGGAAGTACCCTTAGCTTCATTTGACTTCAAGGAGAAATTAAGAAATTTGCCCAAGGTAAGTTCCCTCAGGGTTCAAAGCCAGAGAATCTGACCCCAGGGTCTGAGCTCTTATCCAGCTGAAATCCTAGGGTTCCATTGTGGTGGCCTGGAAAGGCCCCCAGTCTAAGGAGCCTTGATTGGCCCAACCCTGGTGCCCTGGGAACAGGCTCTGGGCTGCCTTGTGTGATGTGCACCCATTCCTGAGGAGATGTCCACGATGCCAGCAGTGAGACAGGAAGGCAGGTCTTGGGGACAGGTGGACTGGACCCCTGCGGGCAGGACAATGGACATGCAGGACACTTAGGCCTCAGAAGTGAAGCCAGATCCTGAGGATTCAGCCCAATGAGGAGATGAGGGAGGGTCAGAATCGAGCAGGGTTCTTCCCCAGAGGTCAAGGGGGAAAGCAGACCCTGGTGACTGCCTGGGTTACAGCCAAAGGTCAGAGGACCTTGAGAGCCTGAGTGACAACGGGGGACTTGAGTTTATGTCCAGAGAAGACTCAAGCCTTCAAGGGCACTGGGAGTAAAGCTCCATGTAGTAAATCAAGCCTGCCTTTCAGTTTACCAACTTGTCCCTGTCTGGCTGAACAACTAATTAGGTGTGTGACCTTGGGTGAGTCATTTCACTATTGCAAGGCCATGTTTTCCTCTATGATATGAGCCCCATGAAAATGATTGAGTGAGACCATCTGTGTAACTTGGTAAATGAGGTGGTAATGCAATAAACATTCACTACTCTTTCCTTTTTTTTTTTTTTTTAGATTTTATTTATTTATTTATTTGACAGAGAGGGAGCACAAGCAGGCGGAATGGCAGGTAGAGGGAGAGAGAGGAAGAAGCAGGCTCCCCTCTGAGCAGATGAGCAGAGAGCCCGACAAGGGGCTCAATCCCAGGACCCTGGGTTCATGACTTGAGTCAAAGGCAAATGCTTACCCAACTGAGCCACCCAGGTGCCCCAACTTCTGCCTTTTATTACAACCACGCAACAAGTCCAAGTGGTTGATGGACAGGGGTTATTGACCCCACTGTGCTGACAAGGCGAGGGCCAAGATGGGCGCCTGGACACCCTGCCTCTGTGCCCTTGAGCTCCCCATACAGAATAAAGACGACCAAGTTTTTCATACATGATTTTACTTAGTCCTCACCACAGCCCCGGGGATTAACTTCCATTCTCCCATCCTGCAGATGAAGAACTGAGGCTTGGGAAGATGGAGTGACTCTCCGAGGTGACACAGTAAGTAGCAGATGTTTTTAAGCCATGATTGGTCTGACCTCAGGCTGGTTCACTGCCTCAGTCTCTCAAGATGGGGGCTCCCTTGCAGAGGTTCTGGGGGGAGCTCAACCTGCTTGGCCTGCCATGCCAATGATCCTTTAGCAGCACGAGGGTGCGACTGAATTCTGGGTGGTCCAGGAGTTCAACTGTCCCTGAAGGATGGGAGAGAGAGATGCCTGGACTCCAGTGCCCCACCCTCAGCACCCACAGAGAGGGTTGCACAAAGTCAGCAGCTAGCTGCTCTGTGTATGTGTCACAAAGTTAGTACAAAATACTTAAGACCTACCAAAAACCATAAATAATGGGACACGTATTAAATGTTAAAATGGCCAATTTTGTGTATTTATGTTTTGCCATTTATTTTATTTTAATATTTTAATTTATTTGAGACAGAAAGAGAAAGCACAAGTGAGAGCAAGGGGCAGAGGGAGAAGCAGAGTCCCACTGAGCAGGGAACCCAAGGTGGGGCTCCATCCCAGGACCCCGGGATCATGACCTGAGCCGAAGGCAGATGCTTAACCAACCGAGCCACCTAGGCACTCCATTTAGCCATTATTTTAAAAAGGAATAATTAAATGAGAGGATTAAATAGTATGAAGCGCTGGCACATGCTCAGTCATGGTGGCAATCATCATCATCATCATTATCATCTTCAACTTTCAGGTTCAAAAGGAATCTCAGAGGGCCCCTGATACAGTCCCTAACAGAGATGTGTTAACCCCACACTGTCCAGTATGATAACCATTAGCCAAGTGTGGCTTTTGAGCACTTGAAATGAGGGTCGTCCCAACTGAGGTGCACCTCACGTGTAAAATATGAACTGGATTTCAAAGACTCAGTTTTGAGAAAAGAATGTAAAATATCTCATTAATCACGTGTATATGGATTACATGCTGAAATACATGATAATTTGGGGAAATACTAAGTTAAATAGAATATATTATTAAAACCATTTCTGAAGAATATTATGAAGAACAGGCATGAGCCAGCACTCTGCTTAAGAAAGTACTGATTCGGCAGAAGCTCTTGGGCACTGTCCAATCCTAGTCCCCTGGCCACACTCCAAAGGCAGTCTCTCTGCGGGGTGTGGGGTACATATTCCCATGCATTGTCTTTATATGTTTACTACATGAGCATGTACATCTGTGACGGAAGGTGCAACCACAGTGCACGTCTCTAAACCTCTCATCAGAGTTGGTATACTGACGTGGACTCCTCTGACAATTTTTTCCCACTCAACATTGCATTTTGAAGATTGATCTTTATTGACACATGTGGCTCTGATCTTATGCTTTCACAATAACACTCCACGGTATCAACAAGCCATACAGAGTGTGGCTCACTTTTCTGTTGGTGGGAAGGGAGATTTTCATCACTATTCAAAACTCTACTGCTATGGGCTTCTCATACACATCTCCTCGTGCTCACCCGGCGGGTGGAATGATTGCTCGATGTGGGGATGTACCCCTGCAACTTCACTGACTGCTGCTACCATGTCCTCTGAAGCAACTGTGCTGATTTTTAAAATTGGGACATCAGTGATGTATACTATTGTATAAGTTTAAGATATACAATATGTTGATTGGATTTATTTCTGTATTGCAACATGATTACCACCACATCTTTAGGTAACACCAATATCACCCAACTACCATTTCTTTTTTGGTAGTAAGAACATTTAAGACGCCACTGTGCCCACCAGCAGCATATTCTGACCAACATTTCAGGGGAGGCAGGAAGATGAGCTATGGGAGCAGCCTCTGTGGCTTTTCAACAATAATGATGATTTCTTCTTCTTCTTCTTCTTCTTCTTCTTCTTCTTCTTCTTCTTCCAGTTTTTTTTTTTGGGGGGGGGTAATGTTTACTTCATAAACTAAGTGATATTTAAAGATACTCATTGTAGTATTGTTTATAAAACATGTGATGGAAAATATGTCACAATGTCTTAGTGAAAACAATTACCCCTCCTCAACAAAGAGCGAATCTGATCACATTGGTGCCCTGCTGAGAAGCCTCCCAAGGCCACCCAGCCCAGGGCCCTCCCTTGGACAGGGTCAGTGTCAGGCCATTGCCTCCTGTCCTGTGGTTGGGACCCAGCCACACTCCCTACTCTCCAGCATGCCTTGACACAGTCTCTGGAGTGCCCCATGCTGTGGCCGCTCCTCCCTGCTCTAGAGCAAGTGCAGTCCCCTATGCCAGACACCCCATCTCACCCCACCCAGTTACTTTGCCAGAAGAGAACTCCTTCTCATCCTTCAAGACTCAGGCCCGGCCTCACCTCCCCTGAAATCACCTCTTTCACCTCCTGCACCCACATCCTCCTCCCCTCAGGAGGCTGCATTAGATGCCCTCTCAGTACACACTGGAATCCTCCCTCAGCCCTTATAGCACACGACATGTCACTTTATCTCTCTCCCTGTTAGACTAGGAAAACAAAGACCACACCATTCATCTCTGTGTTCCCAGTATCCAGACTAGTTCTGATGAATGAATGAATGAATGAATGCATGAATGAATGAATGACTAAAGTCAAACCCCTCATTTTACAAAAGGTAAAGGTGAGATTCAAGGAAGGAGGGGACTGCTGGCTACGAACTCAGAACTGATTTTCCATCCAATGATTCCCCTCTCCAGTTTTCGACATGCATTAAGACAGGAATTAATTTTAAGTATGAGAAATCCCAGAAGGCATAAATGAAAAGGTTGATCAATCCTTTAAATTTAACTGCACAGAAATTCTTCGAGTTCTGCATGGCAACAAAAGTTCCCAAACAGGTGTCAAATAAAATTCCAAACTGGACAGAAATATTTGCTACATATATCACAG